TGCAACAAGACAAAAAGGTCGTGCCGCTAGAGAGCGAGAGAACGAGTGAGGCACGCTGGCCTCGCATCGTTTCAAACGGCGTGCAGCGCATGTGCGGAATATAGAGCATGGCGACGTGGGAATTTGGACAATTCGAGAATGGCCATGACCCTCTTCTCTGACTTTGGCCTATTGATTATGTCACAGTCATTGTGGTTCGGTGACGTACGCAGCTGTGCATTCGGGTTGGGCTTTGCTGAGCTGGCGCGGTAAACTCATGGATGCCACGGTTTTGCCTTTTTGTCTCACAAGTCAAATAAACATGGCAAAAAAAGTTTTATTTTGCTTCCAATTCATGTTGAGTGCCAACAAACCTGACCTCTGACAAATAACTTGTTTTCCTCTGGAAAATATTTAGCAAACCAGCAAACCTCCTGGGACAAACAAAGCTTCAGATATTGCTGCCAACATCTAAAAGCAGCGTGAATGAAAACAGAAAGCCTTGGTGATGGCACCCATTTCTACTCGGACAGTAGTTTCTCACCATCTCAAAAACGCATGGAGCCCAAATACCGATCTGCAGCAGAGGCCCTCATGTGAATATCGTCTCAAAGCTGAATGAGACTCCGTGGTTGAAGGAGGCTGTTTTTGTTGCCGTGAGAGTAATACTTTCTACTCTATGAAGATCTTTTTCCAAATGTTCAAAAGCAGTAATCTCACCAAAGACACAGACGATTGGAGCCTCGTGAGCGCTAATGACTGTTTGTCTGAGTCGAGCAGTCGCCTGCAGTTGTGTGCGGAATTCTTTAGCGTTTCTTGTGCGTGTCGGATAGAAGGCATCAAGGCAGGAGGTGCCGCATGTACAAGTAAATGGGATTTGCCGTATACTCGTTCTGCATTTTTCCACTCATTAACCACAATGGTATCCATTACTTTTACAAAGGAAACCGTGCGTTTCACATTGATTTTCCACCCTGTAGAAGGTTGCCCAGGAGCTAAAAATCTATCTATGAATCTATATGGGATGCTTTGGAAAATGCTCAAATGAGGGGTTTGTGTTCAACAAAGAAATTAATTAAAAAATAATAATAAATACAGTTGACTAAGCTGAGTGGCACTTGAATGCAACAGACAGGGTTCTGCAGGTGTTTGCTAAGGACACGTGTACTTTCAACACGGATATGGGCCAACCTTCAAAAACAGGGCTTTCAGAAATCATTTTTAAATGCACTAGAAAAACACAGCAAACTGCTACCCTGGCTCCGTCCAAAAGGAACACCATCTCCTCACAAAATACACCAGGACTACTTATCACGGCAGACGTGTGGTCACGGTGAGGTTGTCAGGGCAACCACACACTCATGTTCAATTAATTGATCCTGGTCAAAAGATGCAGGTGCACATAACAAAAAATGAAGAAGCTTATTAACTCTTGTGTCTCTCGTTACAAATAACTGTGAACATGCACGGCCATCATAGCTTCTGGCCCCGATGACTCATCCCATGCCTGGTGTTGGTCCTAAGCGCCTTGTGCACAATGTTGATTGCAAAACAAAGTACTACATGTGTGTGGAAACGTTCACGTAAGAAAGACTGTCCACTGTGTGTGTGTGTGTGAGAGAGAGAATAGCTGTCCAGTGGCTCTGCATCAGTGCACACGCATGCAAGTAGGAGGGGAGCCATATGCTTCTTTGTCCATGTGCTGTTCGCTCTCGCTCGTTAAAAGCTAATTTCTCCCCCCACCATCCTCCCTGCCCCAACGTCACACCCCCCCTCCCCCCTCCTCTTCCCCTGGCTCGCTGTCTTGTAGCGATCAACAATAGTCTATTCTGTGTTGTCCCGTGCGAGCGGAGACACACCCAGAGCCAAGGCCACGGTGCGAGGGGAGATTGTTGGGCGGGGGCCAGCTGAGCTGGACACAGGCTCAATTCTCGTCTGGCAGCGTGGATCCTGCTGCGGGAAGAGGGAAGAGCTGGTCCGTTTGGCAATTCTTGTGATCGGCGACAAGTAGACGCCCTGCAGCATGTTGCCAAGGGCACATGGAAAGATTAGTTGCTAACTAAATGCATCCGGTAGAACATTGATTTATTCTTACCTCTATTCATTTATTTTTTTTAGATATCCATTTATTGATTCACCTGTAACACCTGAGCCCCACCACGTGTTCAGAGCGCATGCAAACTTGTTGTCAATAAACTGCAAAATTGTCTAGAATGCCAAAACGGAAAAAGTGGTATAAGACAGCTAACTACGGATACACTCTCAAAATAGATGGAGCAATTGATTAACAGTTAATCTCATTATGATGACTTACAGGACCTGTTTTTCAGTGGCTGACATGGGCTTCCATACATTAACCAACAACAGATGTAGATGGGTTGTAAATCACAGCACTTGTATGTGTATTTCCACCACTTCATAAAATACATGTAACATGCAGTTGAATGACGGTAGTCTGCTATTATTGTAAATTGACAGCTTTAACTGTTTATTCATGACATTGGCCGTTAATTTACAAGCAAGAGATGGAAATTTAACTGTATGTTAAAGTTGTTATGACATACTGTAAGATACCGTTAGAAATGCAATTTGTTAACAGTGCACTTTTATCTATTTAGTGGTGGTAAATAGCGTACAGCACCATGCCATCCCTTTCAATTGTTCTCATATGTTTCTGTCTAGTTGCCCCAAATGTCCCCACCCCTCCACACATGGATCCAAAACACACACCCAAACGCACACACCGAGGCCCAACCACAATACAGACCCCTGATCCCGGGCACACATGCTGAAGGTCGTTCTATCGACCCCGTTATTCTCTATCATGACAATCGGTTCCTAAGTGCCACAGCTGCCCCCCCACACACACACACACACACACACACACACACACACACACACACACACACACACACACACACACACACACACACACCCTGCCTCCTCCGATTCGACCAGACTCTCTTCATTGTCCGAGAACCTAAATATGACACGCCAACACACCATCTGAAGGCTCCCCTGTCTGCACCGGGCCGGCCTAATTATATAATTATCCCCTGTGTGGTTGTGCCTTTGCAGCTGAGACGAGGGAGGGCCTTTGTGTGCCGTTGGAATGCGGTGCGCTTGGCATTTTTCAGCAAAAGGGCAGCTTTCTGGATGCCGCTGCCAGAGGGGAGTAGAGGAGGGTGACATCACCGCTGCTGGTGCCCACTGTTTCTTTTCCCCCCTCTCTCTCTCGCTCTCTCTCTCTCTTCTGACTCACTCAATCTTTCCTCTCCTTATCAGTCGCTGGATCTTGCCCTCTCAGTTCTGGAAACCCCCCCCCCCCATCCCCGTCTTCATCTTCCTCTCCAAACCTTCACGTTTGGCAGATCCAGCTGTCTTGCAGATGAAGTGGCCTTTCGAAACGGAATGCCAGGGGTTTGGCCCTCTGCCGACCTACAGACCCACAAGACCGCCTCGGAGGAGGCGAGCGGCGACGTTCGATAGCGAAACTCGCAGGGCGACTGCTCTGCCGTGTGATAGGAAGGCTTTGCTTTTGTTTCTGGTGGAGAGCTGTTGAGGGGATAAGAGGGACCAAAGCGCCAGCAGGTGTTGGGCGAGATTACAGCATTGGGCCTAGAAAGCATAAGCGCCTCTTTTCTTGAATTAAAGTCAAAAGCAACAAGACGGGCGTCCGATATATGAACCACGTTCTCCTGCACACAACGATAGAGGATTCAGGCCTTTTTTTCTGACATTTACATGAAGGGCCCCTCAGTCTTTGCACATCGCCACAGGTGATTTTATGAGTTGTTTTAGTTTTATCAGAGGCCTTTCATGCTCACTAATGAAAACAGCAGGGCTGTATAAGGCAGGAGTATTTTGGGCGCCAACGCTTTCCCACTGAGTTCCTCCCAACGACCTCTTCTGTAATCAAAGGACACATCGTCGTTTCAGCAAAAATAGATTGAACTTTCAAAAAAAAACGTTTCTTTTCATGCCACCTGAGGTGAACTCGTATGTCGGGCAGGTAGGAGAACCCAGGTTCTCCCAGCTGTTCATCCCAGCCCACCGCTGCCTTTTTACAAGTTTTGTACCTGGAGTTCACGCCTCCAATCAGCTGCAGCAGCAGAGGAGTTCATCAGAGCCCCGAGACAGCGTTGTTCAACCACGGGAGCAAGAAGCAGATCTGCACGCCGTCTGCAGCAGAAACACTGGTAACCAACAGCACGTGAGAAAATTCCCATAGAATTCCGAGGTATCCGTCTGATCCCAGTGCCCGCTGGTCAAAGCCCCCCTCTGGTGATCACACAGCACGGGGTATGTGAAAGAATGCTGTCGGCACACAACGGGCCTATGTATTCCCAGGACAAGCTTCACCACATGCCCCTCAGTGATTTCCTTCTTTTTATTTTTTATTTTTTTAATGGCATCAATAAAAGATACAAATAAAAGTGAAAATTTTGATCACGAACTGTACGACCAGAGACCGTGCCAACGGACCCCGAGACAATAATGTGTAAATAAACAGAGTTTAGTCTGATGAGAAACATAGTTTGGGTGCCGGAGCCAAGAGGAGGACCTCTCCCACTGTCAGCACGGCTGTGAGAGCTCCATTGTTTGGCCCGTCTCAAATGGCCCTGACCGATCACACTGAATGTCGAACCTCTGTCTAAACTAGAGGCATCTTCCCCAAAACATGCTGGCACGGTGCCAGGGTTCGGTTTTCCCATCAGGATTACTGATCGCTCCGCGGCGCCCCCGCTGGTCAGTGTAGTTACTGCCGCTGTGAAGGGTGTTCAATGAGCAGTTTACACGAGATCAAAGATATGAGTTATTTTGTACTATAATCATTTTTGCAAAGCTCAAACAGTGAGTTACAGGTCTCATTGTGCATTATGTCATAAGGAAACTGTTTTGCCTCTCGCGAACAAAACCTTTCCTGCACAACTCCATCCTCCGTTTCTATTCCCCGTCCTCTATTGTATCACATCCAGCTGGCAGGTGGAGAGGGAGGGAGACAAAGAGCAGACTTTTCCTGGTATTCTCAGGGATTTTATTAAAAAACAAGAAATACAGTGCGGAGAGAGGGAGGTCTGGGAGTACGATCCATAGATACTTTGTTACATTACATTGTTGAATAGACATCAAAGCACTGAGCAGATTCAATAATAGTGGAATGGTGCCACCGTGTGTTTGTGCACATTTATTACAGTTCATTAGCCTCAGTCAAATGATTAATCATTTTAAAGAAATAGAAAGGTACATAGTATGAGATAAAAAGGTTAAAGTATCACGTTGTCATAAGGAATATTGCTCAATCCTAAAATTATTGAAGAATAAAATAGCAAATGTAAAAACGCAGTTTGGCATATCAGACACAGAACATGTAAACTAATGCACAGGCATTGTGACGACACTAAAGACAAAAAGGAAACAGGTAAGAGGGATGTTCAGTAACCTCGGGCGATTCAGCTGAGCGCGTGTGAGACATAATCATACGTCTCTGCTACGCCGAGCTCGTTCGCCACAGCTGGGTTCTGCTCCGAGGGGTCGCGGCCGTCGATGTGCCTGAACTCGGCCGCGAAAAGGCCAAAGAGGCAGAAGATCAACATGACAAAGGCCCATTCGCACATGGCGGCCACGGAGGGAAAGCCTGTGTTGTAGAGGACCCCCACTGGAGGAGGGGACCAGGGGTCAAGGAGCGTGACATTAAATACACTCAATCCAAATGGTTGTTGAAATATGCTTTGGCTTGCATATATTTAGCTTGCGGGTTCTTTGAGAAGATTTGCACGTGGTTTATGTGTGTGTGTGTGTGTGTGTGTGTGTGTGTGTGTGTGTGTGTGTGTGTGTGTGTGTGTGTGTGTGTGTGTGTGTTCTAAGCCCCTTCCTCTTGTGCCCCTCTGTCTGTAGTTTCCGGGACTTTTCACAACACGCTTTATAAATGAACGCTGACAATAAACGTCAGCTAAATCTGTCATTTAAAAATATCCCTCTTTCAGAAATAAAGGCAGCTTTAACATCTTTTAGTAGTTCGACTTCTCAACAGTTACCAACAGGGACGAATTGTTAGTGCGGCTAAAAGTAATGGACAATAGCTGAAGTAGTGAGCTAGAACTATAAACAGCTGATTTGTTGGGTTAATAGTTGATTTAAAATTGCCTAGGTAAAAATTGAAAGCTCAGCTCAATTGTTAACAAACATCCAGTTCAAAAATTCAGTACCAGTCGAAAGTTTGGACACACTTTCCCAAGCCTGCCTCTGTATGTATGAATGAACACATTTAGATCCCATTGGTGATGAATAACTCTGCATTACCACTGTGGCTGCAACAATAATCACACACTCCTTAAGGATTCATGGTATTCCCAATAAGCAATAAAAGCACAGCTTGTGTTTCCAATCTGCGGAAGCCGTTTGCTTCTCACAGCACGCGTTTGGCAGGATACAAGCGATGATCAGGCCGGTGCACAGGAAGCAGCAGGTGGCCCTGGCGGGCTCGACCCACCTTCGGTCTGGAGACGGCACGGTTAGAAACAGCTGGATCCAGAAGTAGGCCAAGCCCAGAAAGAAAGCTAGGAACGCTCCCAAAAGGTGAACACTGTAGAAAGTGGTTACCTGGACGGACGGAGAAGAGACCTGAGTCAGCACTTCTTTTACATTACATGTCATTGCATTTTGAACCGATGGTTTTACATTTTGCCCGGGAAGCAATCGGGGGTTGGGTGACTTGCTCAGGGACACTTCAACGTGGGACATGGAGCAGCCGGGGTTCAGAGGGCGCGCCCTCTCTGCTCCACGCGCCACCGTCGCCCATTCTCGAGAGTCGTTACCTGGAAGCTGCCGACGATGGAGAGGCCCACGCACGAGATCAAGCCCAAAACGAAGCTGGCTATGTTGGCATTCCTGCGGATGCCTCGGCCGCTAACCTGCTTGAAACGGAGGACCACGATCCACAGAGCTAAGAGAGACCGACGTGGAGACAGACCAGGGCAGAAGACGCTCGAACTGTCACTTAATGGACGGGATACGTAAAGAAAAAACAGGGTCCACTTTGGATTGAGGTTAGAAGATGTGCGCGTTTACCTAAAACAGAGCAGGTGCTGCAGATCTGGGAGAGGAAGCATCTCTGAGGGGCGTAAGCGCCGCAATGGCTGACGGGAGCGCGAGAACACAAATGATCGTCAGTCAACGGCGAGTTATCCGCGACGGCATCCGGCTCAAGTGATTCGCCACCATCGCTGAGTAGAACCGTACCAACCTGATGGAAGGGAATCCGTCTGCAAGGTCGACCGTCCTGTTAAACACAGCCGTGGCAAATCTAGCGGGAAGAAAAACCACCACCGCCTTGTTTCATACACGTTACTGGAGAGGCCTGATTAAACATTAACTGTCATTAGGAAACTATTAGGTCACTGCTAAATGTGTCACGCCTCTACTCCCTCCTTTCTACCAACAACTTTATCGCTACAATAACATTTTGAAAACACCTTCATTTGCAGGATGTAACCTGAAGCATTAACAGAATACATTACGTAAATATACACACGTAGTTTCCTATTTGTTTTGCCCCCTCGGACCCAGACGTGCTCAGATCATTGAACGCAGCTTACCGGCGAGGTCGTCGATCACGAGCAGTATATATAGTGAAGAGCTTTGTATTTGTGCTGACAAACCAAGTCAGAAATGCTCTTTGTTGTGGACTAAAAGACCAAAGTCTCAGTAAAAAAAAAAAAAAATCCTTTCCAGAACTCTGTAGAAACAGCGATATGGTGTTAATAAAGGAGGGAGCCAAATACTCACACGATCCAGATGCCCACAGTGCCAAAGGCAGCCAGGCCGAGAGGGAGCAAAGCCCACTGCCACATGTTGGTATGGCCGCTGCTTAAAGAGGAACCGTCCCCACCTAAAGTTGAGATTCTTCACAAATAGGTTTGTTAATCATCAAGTGGTTGAAGGTAGAGGAACCGTTTTCTTGAAAGGACGGCGCTGGACTTTGATTCCCTTTTTCTTTTTTAAACAAGTTCACCCAATTGGAAGTCTTACAGAATAAAGGGGCATTCAGTCTCTTATGCGGTCAATAATTCCCTTAGTATTTAATTAGCTTCACACCTTTTTCACGATGCTTGGTTCCTCTCAAGAGAGAGAGAAACATCAATCACATCACCCCATCAAAATGAATAGTTATCTATTTGTTTATATAAAAGAAAAATAATTATGAAACAAATTTGTAACATTCACCGTTTATTCAACTATTTCAAATGCAGCAGGCAGAAACCAAAACACACCGATGAGCTGAATGAATGATTGCGCTTTATTGAAGTGGAGCGTTGCCCATGGCCACACACGGGGGGGAGGGTTCTTTTCTCTGCTTGGTACGAGTCAACAACGCGTATCAGTGTGTGTGTGTGTGTGTGTGTGTGTGTGTGTGTGTGTGTGTGTGTGTGGGGGCTCGTCAGAGCTCAAGCTCGATCTTGACATCCATCTTAGCCTTGTACGGCTCCAGCAGGGGGCGCACTTCTTCAGACAGGAACCTGGTCACCTGGACGAGAGGACACATTACACCTCTTTAGTGTGCCGACGCTCCTGTAAAGCCGGAGCAGCGGGCAGGACGGCGGCTGGAGGCGAGCCGAGCGGCGCCGCGCGTCGTACCTGCTGGGGAGCGCGGCCGATGAAGGTCTTGGGGTCCAGGATGGCGTCCAGCTGCCCCAGGACGGGGGCGAAGTAGGGGTCTCGCTGGACCCTCACCAGCAGGTCGTTATCGCCACCCTCCTGTTTGACCACGGCGGCTGCCTCCTGGGACAAAACCCGAATCTTCTCGTGGCAGTCCTGAAGGAGGTGGACAGGTGTGGTTTTGAACTCCAGAGTGGATGACGCGAGGGATTACAAACTGACAAGAAGCGAGACAATACCTGTCTGTTCCCCCCCGCCTTCACCATGGCCATGATGATGTTCTCTGTGGCCATGAAGGGCAGCTCGTGGCGGATGTGTCTCTCGATGACTTTGGGGTAGACCACCAGTCCCTCGGTGATGTTCTGCAGGGTGCTGAGGATGATGTCAGCCGTCAGGAAGGACTCAGGCAGGGAGATCCTCCTGCAGACGAGCGAGAGGGGTGAAGTGAGTAACCTGGAACTGATTCAGCGACCCCTTCTTACTGAATAGCTGGCTAACACCGCCGATCACGCGACCACATCGCCACGTCTCACACATGCGGCACATAAGGGCGTCTGGTCCGACCTGTTGGCGCTGTCGTCCAGCGTCCTCTCCAGCCACTGGACCGACGCAGTCTGCAGCGGGTCGGTCATCAGTGCCACCAGGTGCCGGGCCAAGCTGCAGCAGCGCTCTGCGCGCATGGGGTTCCTCTTGTAGGGCATGGCGCTGGAGCCTGGAGGCCAGGGAGACAACTTGAAGCTGACTGACCACGTGATCGGTGTGAGGCGAGCAGTGAGTCAACATACCGATCTGCTCCTTCTCAAAAGGCTCCTCAATCTCCTTCAGGTTGGCGAGCAGGCGGATGTCGGTACAGATCTGCAGCAGACAGACGGAGGATGAGCAACGATACTCCTTTTGGTCAGATCCTGATATAAAATATGCATTCGGTTGTTCGGGACAATCTGGTATCGAACGCAATTGTTTTGATAAAGAACTACTCGCTACGTTCATTTCTATGTGTTTTTCAGCGTTTGTTGAAGTGGAGCCTGATGATGCCTCACATATCGAACCCTCTCACTTCCTCACAGCTGTTTATTGAAAACTAAACTTAGATTGTTTCTTGTTGTTATATCATCATCATACCCAAAAGCTCAGGTATCTGTATCGGGACTGAAAAACAGAAAAGTTGTCTTGGTGAAAACCTAATGTCAAATTCAAACTTTAAAGTGAGGTAAAAAGAGCAGGTCTCTCTTCACACATGCAGATTCCCTTAAATACCACTAGATGGCAACGTTTCTCTATGCGTCCCCGTCTCCTGCAGCTCACCTTGTGAATAGAAGCTCCCAGACTCGCCAGGCTGGACAGACAGTCCACGTCCACCTTACGGCTGTAGGTCTGTCCTGTTACCAGGTAGGCTCTGTGTGGAGCATAGCAACAGCACCGTCAGGCCTAAAAACGCATTACACCAACCGCATGGTGGTCATGGCATTTAACGGTTGACACAATAACTGCATCATGTGATGGTCTGCTTGTCCTGTGTGAGAATAATCGTGACCCCTATAAAACACTGAGAGAAATACCAGAGAGGGATTTTAAATCTTAGCACGAGACTTACTTTTTGAAGCCGGCCATCTCTGTCACCATCCTGTCAAGATCTTCCACCTGATGAAGGAACACGTGACATTTATAATCCGTCATTATAACAACCTTCCGGCCCACACGCCATTGACGGCGGATACCTTGTCGTGGTCCCCCTGAAACAGCTGCAGGAAGCTGGCCTGGGTGCCAGTGGTCCCCTTGACACCCCGGAAACGCAGGTCGTCGCGGGCTCGCTGCATGTTCCGCATGTCCATGGCCAAGTCCTGCAGCCAGAGACACGCCCGCTTCCCTACCGTGGTCAACTGGGCCGGCCTGCGGGCGGGGCAGGGGAAAGGAGGAGAGGGAGTGGAGGTGGGTGGAGTGGAGGTAAATGATGCATTTTCTACGTGTGACAAATCAAGCTGAGGGAACGGCGCGTGCTGAGGCGACCCCGCGGCGAGGAGCAGCCACTCTGGACTCACTGGTAGTGCGTGTAGCCGAGCGTGGGGAGGTCAGCGTATTTCTCCGCAAAGTTTGCCAGCCTGTCAATGACTCTGGCCAGCTGCGTAGGGGGAGGGGAAGAGAACAAAAGGGTTACGCCGAAAGGATTGCATGACACGCTGATGTTACGGTTGTGTATGTGTTCCCACGTGGGGTGTGACAAAACACTGCAAAGGAATAATTACTGCACCGATTATTTCTACATCGTTACCAAACAGCGGGGCTTGGAGAGAAGAAAAGATAAATCATATAACAATTGGATGCTCAACTTAACGTGTGTGTGTGTGTGTGTGTGTGTGTGTGTGTGTGTGTGTGTGTGTGTGTGTGTGTGTGTGTGTGTGTGTTTTCTGGCAAACAGCTGAGCCTCACCTTCGGCAAGAGAATGTCAAATCCATCACGTAGCATAATCAGATCCTGAGGAGGACACAGAGAACCACTTAGGGAACACGAGAACTACGCGCTTAATCCTTTATTTTCTTGTTTCGTCACATGGCGATACGTCGCGGGACAAATATATGAAAAGGAGTCCATCATAATTACAGTATTGTCTCCCACGTAGCAGGAGGTGGCCCCGAGGTGGATGATGGGAGCGGCGGTGGGGCAGCAGTGTGCGAAGGTGTGGACATGGGCCATGACGTCGTGCCTGAGCTTGCGCTCCTCCTCGGCCGCCATGGCGAAGTCGATGTCCACTTCGTGGCTCTCCATCTCCAGAATCTGGGCGTCGGTGATGGGAAGACCCAAAGCCTGAGGAGGACAACGATTTGAGACGGGGGGAGGAGAACACAGTTAGGGTGAAAGAAATGGAGGACTTTGCTGGTGTGGATTATCATTTATTATTTATTTTCACATTCTTTTAAGAAAAATGATCATGTCCCTTTAAACACCAGACAGATGTTTTCTTTAAACCCTCTCAAAAGCCATGCGCTCTCCTCGTGAGACTCTGATTAGATTACATTGTTTTCTAATGGGATTGAACATCATGTGATGAGACTGCGGAGTGGGTTTGTTGAGAAATTGAGCCCGACCCCGGGAAGAACGTTGAGGTTACTTCCCGAAAAGGTCAAAGGGTCACACTGATGGCCGCCCGCATCCAAAAACCAAACCTAAATGAACACAACACAAGCTAAGGCTATAGTGGTTATGCTGTTGGACGGTCGGGGAGGCGGTCTCCTGTTACCGTGACATTAACTGCTCGCGCTATTTTCACTTGCAAACCAGAGTGGCAGCCACAGGCCTCGCTGACGCTGCACAGGACAACTGTGGGAAAGTTACAAAAAGGTGGGACTGATCAGTCCTGATCAGTGTGTGCTGATGTAATGTGAGGCATGTGACAGAGGGCCAGTCACCAGTTAAGGACTTGCGAGCGCTGTAGAATTATTGTTAATCATGTTTGTTTATTTTGAGCATCTGCAGCCAATTATGCTCGCGTTAAATCAACCTTGCGTGTTTTGGGTAAACCTTGATGAAACATGAGCTGAGGAACCTTAAAAGGATCACATGGCGGTTTGGTTTGGACGGCTAAATGTCAAGACGTTTTTATAGAGGGGGGGTCTCTCAATTCCAAATTTCAGAATGAGAATATACATGTGGTTTATACTGGTTATTGACATAAAGATCACAAGCTGGGATGTCAAAAAGCAGAACAAAGAAAAAGTATATATATTTTTTTTTTATCCTGGAATATAAATGTTCTTTTTACTTGAATTACAAAATATCATCCAATTTCTAGAGTATATGAACAACAGAGTGAAATCAAATTTATATCATTAGAATCAATATAGGAAAGACTTTGTGATTATTGAATGACAGGCGCGCGCCCCCACACACACACACACACACACTTTGGCTAAAGACCTGACAACCCGATGGGGGGCTTTTAAAACTATATTTAGAGCAGGGAACTTGATGCAGGTCTCTGAAGGTCGCAAACTTAAATAAAGACCTATAAAGCATGAGAAAAGGGGCATTCACGCACAGCGCGTGCAGACACGGGCTTCGGTTGCTATGGTTGCTAATCGCGCGGCTACAATGTGTCAAACCTTCTCCGCCTTGGCCAGGTAGATCCACAGCTTCCTCCAGGTGGTGAACTTCTTCCTGTCACTGAAGTTGTAGGCCATTTCCTTGCTGGCGTACCTCGACACCAGCGGGGAGCGGTACTTCATGAACTCCTCGGCTCCCTCCATGTCGGAAAAGGCGAGGCGGTGTTAGCGAACACGCAAAAAGTCTGCCCCGCGACTCCCGACTACACTCACTCAAACACGCGCGCGCGCAGAGACGCTAGCTTTCCGACTAGCGGCGGCGCTCGGCGTCACGTGGAATGCTTTTACGACACTGGCAGTCGGCGTACGGCGTCACGTGGACGCCGGACTGAGGTCACCGGCGAAGCGCTCCTCAATTGTTTTGCAACACGTAAAAAAACACGACGCAACAGAGTAAAACAACGCTGCCGAAAACGCCAAATAACGTTACGCCCGCACACGCTATAAATGTATGGTTATGGTTATTGTTTTATTAAAAGCACACTGAACTAATTATGTTTTTAACCGTCTTTACTTGATTTCACTTTGATCCATGAGTGCACAATTAAGCTGTTTTGGAACCAAGCATGGTATATAATAATTATTATTATATTATTATATATTTCATTATTCAAAACATTCAGATGTGGCAGTGCCTTGGATTCAATCTGCTATTTATGGGAGCTTTCGTGTATTATGTAAGCAGTGGTTGCATGTATTTATACATAATTATTGAAATGTATTCGTGCAGCATAAGCCCCCCCCCCCCCCACACACACAGTGTTTCTATTTCTGCTGGCATCATATAAATAGTTGCGTTTGTGCATGATGCAGCAGCTGGGGAATACATCCAGCTGTAAACATGAGAACAGAGCCCACCCTTTCTGTCTCGCTCTGTCCCCCCCCCTCTCTCTCTCTCTCTCTCTCTCTCTCTCTCTCTCTCTCTGTCTATCTTTCTATCTGTCCTCCTGACTGCAGTCTGCATACAGTGCTACGCTGCTGCCACTGCTGCTGCTGTGTGATACGAGTGGGAGGAACAGCTTCGTCTGTTTTTGGCTGAAAAAATGACGAGACATCTCCCCGAAACTGTTGCTGCTGCTGCAGGGGAGGATTTGGCTTCCTGTCTCTTGCATTGCACAATCTCCCCCCTCTGCTTGGACACTTAAAAAGACGGGAGGCAGGGAGAGAAGCTACAGAGGGAAGAACGACAGAGAGCCATAGCGGGTCTGAGGGGGTGTGAAGGGATAATAGAATTTTTTTTTTTTAAAAGAAGAAAAAAAAAAAAGAGGGGGGGGGAGGTTGAATGGCAGAGGAGGTATGAGGAGAGAAAGCGAGGCAGGGGTAGACACCGCGCACAGAGGGTAGAGTGAGCTCCACTGCAGTAGAATGAGGGTTAGAGTGAAAGAGAGAGCGAAGAAGCATCCAAGCTGCCAGCCTTTCGCACGCCACTCGGGATCCGTCGCTCTCTGAAGAGGGAGGAAGGAGGAATCCACCGTGGAGGCGAGAAGGAGAAGGAGGAGGGCGGCCGAGGAGGAGGAAGCCAGAGGTTCTACACACAAGATGGCTGCTGTGTCCTCTGCCTCTGACACTGGTAAGTGGGCTTTCATCCTTTGCTGCACACCTCGCTGCAGGCCCCCCCTCTCCTCCCTCTCCCTGCTTCCCGTCATCACCCCCATTCACAGTATCCGGGGCCAAAAAAAACCCATCAGAGCCGTTTCCACGCTTGGACAAAACATACTCGGAAGCTGTTGCTCGTGTCAACTTCCTGTGTTCAGCAGCTGGCGTGGAAAGTGTCAGCAGTGGCAACAGGATCAATCAACCTCCCTCTCCTCACATGCTCTCCCCTCTTGTCAGACGGAGCAGGCGTCGCTCCTGTTGCCGTACCTCCTCCCCCACACCCCCCATTAAAACATTTGTCCCCTCCATTTAACTTTCACTAAATCACAGTCACACACCACATGCCGTTCCCTCTGGAAGGAGGCCAAGGCTTCACCGCTCCGACCCAATTTGCCCAACGGCTAAAGACGGAGGAAAACAAAGCAGAGGCATGCTGGGAGGGAGGTGAGGGGGGTGAGGGGGCAGCTGTGGACGGAGGGGAATAAGGTAACAATCAGATAAGAGGGACTGTGAGGAGCGAGGAAAGAGAGGAGTGCATTAGTAGGAGAGGGATGTTGGAAACGATGCAGACGCCTCCCCAAAAAGACGGTTTAGGGATAAAACAAGATTTAAAACTGATGAAGACGATTAGAAAACAGAAAAAACAAAGCAATCCGTTCTGTGTTTCTACAGGGGACCCCAGGGCCCGGCACCCGCCCGAGCGCAGACTGCTGATCCTGGGGGGGCCACAGTCCGGTAAAACCTCCACCGCCAACAGCGTCCTGGGGGACGAGGTCTTCGACATTGGGACGGAGACGACCCACAGCAACGTCGGCCAGACGGAGATCTACGGCCGGCGGGTCACCGTGGTGGACACCCCGCCGTGGGCCATCCCCGCCGACCCGGAGGACAACCCCGAAGGCCGACGACCAAGGCGAGAAACGCCGGCGCGAGTCGAACGACCCGCCGCCGCAGCCCCCCGCCGCCCCGGCGAGCCTGGACAGCGAGGGGCCGTGCATGGGGGCCCATCCTCTGCCCTCCCGGGCCCCACGCCCATCCTGCTGGTGGTGTCGATCAGCCCAGCCTTTCACTGACACGGGAGAGGAGGGCCGCGGAGGAGCAGCTGGGGGCCCCTGGGGGGAGGTACCTGGAGGTACTCCATGGTGGTCTTCACCGGGGTGGACAAGCTGCCCAAGGGGGTCTTCATCGAGGAGCACATAGCCAACACTGGCGAGCCCCTGCAGTGGCTGGTGGAGAGATGTGGAAGCAGGTACAGTGTCTCTCTTTCCCTCTTTGAGCTCACAGAGCAATCGATCTCTGAACTGTGGAGCTCGTCTGTGTCGAGTCTTTGTAAGTGCAAGCGAAACAGTCACAAACGACTGCAGCATCTCGTGGTTAAAGAGGCAGCATGAGGGGGGATTGTAGACACGGGCTACAGCACATTGAAACGTGCTGTACGAAGCCTTCTGCGGCTCCAGAAAGGCTCAGGAAGCTGAGCCTTTGGGTCAGGGTCAGCATAGTTGCATTGTGGGCAAATGTGGGTGGAGTACTGTGTTCACGGACTGACTTCTGCATCTGTAAACATATCATTGTTCAATCATGCGGTTTTGTTTTGGGCGTTTAAAAGGGCCCTGAGGGGACTTAGTAGCATTCTTGTTACGTCATGGGATGGATGAAAGACGGATTAAAAAAAGAACAATGCGGCAGAGGCGGAAACATCCTGACTTACTAACCCCGATTACATCACCATGACGTCACCAGTGTTGTTTTTCTTTTTCAATCGTTATACAACGAGCTGAAAATAGGACTCCTCACAAAGAGTGAACTTCATGTGTAAAATGAGTGAAGAGACGCTTTTATGAATGTGTTTGTTATCTCCCCCCCGCAGGTACCACGCTTTTGATAACACTCGGAAAGACACAGAGGACAACACGCAGGTACCTGAGCTGATGGAAAAGGTGGAGGAGATGATCACTGACAACCAAGGTTTGCTTTTCAGATCCGGTGACGTGTAACACGAAGTCATGTTCTGGCATCATTAGTGAACGCACAGAGAGAACAACGGGAGTACTTTTTGTTTCAGGCTGGTACTTTGAGGTGAACGAGTTGATTTTGCTGGAGGAGGAGCAAGCCAGGAGAGCTCTGGAGGAGGAGAGGATGAGGATGGAGGAGCACGCCAGACAGAGGGAGCAGATGATCGGGGGACCTCCCAGAGGTGGGGGGGCTGTGTGTGTCTCTGGGTGTGGTTCAGTGTGTGTTAGTGTGCAGAAGTGGGTGGGTGATAAGGTACAGGAGAGAGATGAACATCATAACGCTGCTCCAGAGAAAACCAAACTTAGTCATTTTCTATGAAAGAGCTTACTCATTCTAGTCAGTCCAGTCGTCCAAGATCAACACAACAGATGAATAAACGAAAAACATCTTATTTGTCTCAGTCCAAAACGACTGGTTGATTAACTAAATAGATCACAGGTGTCCGACACCAAAATGACAAATTACTGACTGTGAGGTGCTCATTCTCTCACCATCTCCCTCCCCATGTCTCGCTCTGCCTTCGTCCGGGGTTTAGAGTTGCGACTGCTCCTGCTGGGCTGGAAGGGCGTCGGAAAGAGCTCGGTGGGGAACACCATCCTGGGCCGCCGGTTCTTTGAGTCCGGCCAGGAGACGGAGCTGTGTCTCAGGCGGCAGGCGCTGGTGTCGGGCCGGCGGATCACCATCGTCGACACCCCGGGCTGGGACTGGTTCTCTGTGAGGCGAACCCCGAAGCGCATCCGCCAGGAGTCCCAGCGCGGGGCGGCCCTCCTGCGGCCCGGGCCCCACACCCTGCTGCTGGTCCTCCCCGTCGTCTCGTCCCTCACCGCCAGGAAGCGGCGGACGCTGCTGGCGCACATAGAGACTCTGTTCGGCGACAGCGCCTGCCTCCACACCATGGTGCTGTTCAGCTGCGGCGACTGGCTGGGCCGCACGCCCATCGAGGAGCACATCCTGCGAGGCGGCAGGGAGCTGCAGAGACTGCTGGAGTTCTGCGGGAACTATTACCACGTCCTGGACAGCAAGATCCCCGGCAAGGACCGGAGTGTGTCGGTGCTGCTGGATAAGATGGAGGAGATGATCAGAGAGAACGGGGACAAGGCCTTCCTGCCCATACAGACCGAGTGGTGTAAGTCACAGCCGTTTGTCTGCGCCAAATCGCCCCCCCCCCCCAGAAGGTGGTATCGCGCAGCCGTCTAACATACCTGTGTTTGTGTTCGACAGTAAGCGAGGAGAGCTCGTACTCCTCGGACAACACCGAGCCCGAGGACGACTGTCGAGGATGCCAGCTGCAGTGACACGATCCCCCCCCCCTCCCTGAGAGGGAAGCGCCCTCCCTCCCTGCCCTCGCTTCCTGTCCTGGTTTCTGGTCTTCAAACGCCACCTCACGTAACTTAAACCTCATCTAGACATCCCCGCTCTGACCCCAGAGGTTTTTTTTTAAAGGGAAAACAAAGGACTTGGAACGGTGGAGCCTCGTCAGGAGTAGCTCCTTGTTCGAACTGAACCGAACTTCCGCCGAGCAGGAAGCTCGACCCCCACCTCAGAAAAGGGGAGAAATAATCTTCTTCTACTTCGAGGGACCTCAGCCGGATCCCCCTGTCCATGAGCATGTACACAGATATCATCTGCTGCTAAAGAGACCCTGCTTCAACACTGCAGAGTAAATGATTACTCGTCATAGTAACTGTGTCTCAGCGGACGCAAGTTGAACGCATTTAAATGGAAACCAAAAGAAGAACGTTATCGTGACCCGTTAGTTAGCTTGTTAGCTTGCCTGGTTGTTGGAAGGCCGAGAGTCAGAACTCGTGTGATGAATTTACAATGCAGCCATGCCCTTCTACATCAAGTGCCATTTCTGTCATGCGCTTCCAATTAGTTTGAATCAAAAGAGGCCTCAAAAGGGAAACGTTTTGAGTGAAGCTTGTGTGCCAAACAGCAATCATGCCAACACACTGATGTGAAAAGAATGTGAAGGGAGGGGGGCGGAGGAGGGTCCTGAGTGGTTTGTGCACCTCAGGATCATAAGAGAACACATTGAGACATGAGTTCAATTCTCAGCGTTAGCGTTGGATTTGTTTCTGCTCAGGGAGTCGGGGTTGAATCGCTTCCTCCAGGTAAAAATCCGCTACATTTACAGAAACGCTGATTATTGCCCATCGCTAAACTTAAGTCACACGTTAAGTCAGAGTGGGGTTTGCTAGTTTTCTGGAAGGAGATGAGTCGGTGTTTGCACCCTTTGGTCGTGATCGGTTCCTGGCCTGGCGTTCTTTGACAGACGTCTACAGAGGAAGACCTCGCCCCTTCGGGCCTCAAGGAAGGCTGCGGGAAATTTGGCGGTGCTGGAAAAACCGAGTGGCTCGGACGCGGCTCCGCTTCCGCCGCCGTCGGTCACGCGTCTTTTTTTTTTTTTTCATTTTTCGACGAGGTCGATTGAACCACGTGCCTCAGCGTCGAAGCGTGAGAGCGGGAGTACCGTGCGGCCCTGCGGCGGCATCCTGTAGGCTACATCCTGTAGGCTACATCCGGCTTTCGCATGCTAACGAAACGACATAACCTCATGAACAATTGGAGCTCACGCGGGGCTTTTACTACCTTTTTCTACATCGGTGAGACATCCGTTGCCCTGATATCAAAAAGCGATGGATTCTTTTCTTGTTTTGAAAAAAACATAGATATTTGAGAAGAAGATGTATAAATATATAGATATACATTCAGTTCTCAGAGGCATGTTAAGACAACGCATGCAGATAAACGAGTGCCTGTAGAGTTGAAGGCAACGTCACTTCTTACCGCTCGGACTCTCGCTTGAGCAGGTTTCCATGTGGATTTCTGGTTATGACATCACAACGATGGCAAAAAAAGAAAAAAGAACGGAGAAAATAAAAGTTCACACTTTGAAAGGTACAAATAAGAGCATATATAATATGTGACCGATACCACTGCCATGCTGTAACACCTTATTTTCTACAAATGATGTAGCCTATAAAAAAAAAAACACCTGACACTGCTTCGCCCTCTGCTTTGCTGACTCTCTGCTCCATCCGGTGACGTAGGCGACCGCAGCCCTTTAGGTGACAAGCATGACTTTACAGTTTGATATGAGGATGTTTCAGACATTCGTTTCCGAGTCTTAGAGTCCCACGTCACCCGTGAATACATGTTGTACACGTGCCGCGTATATTACAGCGTAGAACTCGTCACGTCGTTTGCTTTTAGCGAAGCGTTTTGCACTCTGTGGCCAAAGTGGTGTTACTTCCTGTGTGGTCCATCCCTCAAGTGGTGATTGCGTCATCAGTACTTTGCTCATCCTCACACAATAATAAAAGATGTGGAGGTATTGTTGTTTTTTGTTGTTTTTTTAGTGTCTGTCCTGCCACTGATGAAGTGAAATGCTACGTAATACGTCCATAACCATGTGGACAATTACGCTGGATGAAAACCCCCAAAAAACTGCAGACGAAAAAAACAAGCCAGGACAAAGTAAAAATAAAGATTCTTTAGCCTTTCCGGTTTGCATGACAAGTATTGGCTTGTACAGCAGGTATCCTGTTCTCTGTAGGGAGCCTCATACTGCACGTCGCGGTGTCCTAAACCAACTCAATCTCTCCACGCTTCTGCTTAAAACAGCCCTGTGTTCCAGTCCCCCCTCATAGCGGTGGTTCAACTTGTTATAATTCCAATGTTCTAGGTCAATGGAAACCAAATGTGTCCCTTTGGAAGATGATAGCGTTTACTGGGGGAAGGATCTATGGAGGCAGCCAAATGTTTCTCCTTGTAGAAGTAGCTGTGCACCACCTTGGCGCGCCTCCAGACAGAAGAGGCCTTCAGCTATGTGGACTAATGACTGTGTGCACAGACAGGGGCCGTTGTAGGCTGAGCACACATTTTTCGTTGGTAATATTATTCATGTTGTGCCGAAGTCAGCACTTTGAATTTATCCTTCACTCGCCCTTCTGTACGCACAGACTTCCTATCGCTGATAATAGTATTTTATAAACACGCTGCTAACTTCAGTTTTCTCAAGCCGTTTCCATGGGAATTTAAAAATAAAACAGGGTTTTTTTCAGTTGATTATCACCGAGCCGCTGGTCAGGAGGCTCCATTACCCTTCCCAGTTTGTCAGAGGGAGTCATAGGTTCATCGTGAAGTGTTATCAGACCACAACAAACAGCCTTTGTGCTCACATTCGGACCAATGGGGGAGAACACTCAAAACCAGGCAGGAACTTGTGCTTCACAGATTTATTTAAAACTACTGTGCCTTTATACTGGAGGTGAGAGGAGTAGTAATAACTACATCTCTGCACTTGGGTGATTATGTACACTGTTAACTCTTTAACAGTGATGATCACGTGCTAAATGATAAAAATATATTTTAACAATGACTCAGGAGTTACACAAATTACTCATTTAAGACTCTTTATTAAGAGATAATACAGATGGTCCAGTTTCACTACAATACACAATTATTAAAACACATCTTACTGGCAAGTTACTCAGATCCAGAGATGGAAAACATTTACGCACAATAAAAATAAAAACAAGTTTATATACTGAATTGAAAAATACTTGTTTCCATATAAACCCTCTAAACATGATAAAAGTTTTCTATATTTTTTACTAGTTTTGTAAAAGGAGGTATTCTGAAATCGCAGTCTTGCTGTGTGGACAGAACACATCCTTTACATGAATTTAAGAAATAAAATCTGCTGAGCTGACTTTCTCCCAATTATACAGAGCAGATGTGGTTTTTAGGTCCGACCTCTAGGGGTCAGCAATGAGACCTTTCTTCGTCCTGGCCTGGCTGACCTCCTCCATCAGCTCCTTCAGGTACTTAATCTCCCGGCCCAAGGAATCAGCCTTTTCCGTTAGCTCCATGTTCTTCCTCTCCAGCAGAGAATACTCGTCCAGGAGAGTGTCCTGCTCGGCTTTCTTCTTCTGCCGGTATCGCGTGGCGGCCGTCTTGTTCTGCGCCATCTTCTTCAGTTTCTTGGCTTTCGGGGTCTTCGAAGTTGCCCTTTCATTTCCGTCTGCATCCCGGGGGGGCTTTATTTTGCCAGCGGAGGCGCAGGGAGACGGTGGACTGGCTTTGTGAGTGGGCTCGGGGTAAGGTCTGCTTCTTGAGGGCTTTGGAGCAGGGGAGGAATGAACGATTTGCGACGCGGTGGTTACAGTGGGGATCCCGACTTCCTCTCTGGGAGCGAGCACCAGGACAATGCGGGTGGGTGAGAGGGAGAGCACGATCCTCGGGGCTTGGGAGACGACAGAAGCGACCACTGGCTTCGCCTCGCTCTCCGTGACGTCCACCTCGCTGCCCAGGTCCAGGGTGTAGGCCGGGGAGGAGGGAGAATCCACCGAGGGGGGAGGGGGGTGCGAAGAAGTGGGCTCAGATTTGATTTCCAGCTCCTGTTCTGGCTCCGGGACACACAGGGGAACCCAGGGACCCTCCTGCTCCTCAGCGCAGGATTCGGGCGCATCCACTGCAATGACACGATCACCTGAGACCGTGGGAGGAGTCGGGGGAGGAATACTTGGAAGACAAATGGAGGGAGGAATCGAGAGTGAAGGAGTTGAGAGAGTGGGTATTGAGAGGGAGTCTAGCTCCATGGGGCAATCCAGGGAGGCCAGGAGTTCTTCTGGACAGCCGGGGGACTCCTCATTAGGACTGCACGAGCCAATCAGAGAGTCCAGGTCAAACTCTGAGAGATCCATCCTCTCAGCCATCCAGTCCAGGTCCCCGAACACATCTGTAAAGAGAGCACGTAATGAGCCGCCTGTTTTCCGCTCACACAATCACAACATGTTGATTGTCGTTTGATTATTACTTCACACGGCCGTTACCTTTGGTGTCATCTGAGACGGCCGGTCTCAGCTGACTAGGGTGGCCCAACCAGGGGAGGGAGAGCAGGTCAGACTGCAACCCAGCTTTGTCCCCCTGGAGGAGGACGGCCGGCGGCGAGGGAGGTGGAGAGTAGAAGGGGGCGGGAGAGGAGGAAGAGGACAGAGATGAGGTGGTGAGGGGCGACAAAGAGGAGGTGTCGCCCTCCAACGAGGTTCCTCCTCCGTTCTGTTGTTCTTCTTGGTCAGGGCGCGAAGTCAAGAAGCCCATGGCGTCAACCATGGGAGAGGAAGGTCCCCAGAGAAGGGCCTCCATGTCTTCCAGGCCAAACTGTGAGTTTGTCGTCATCATGGTCATAGTGGCTGTTGTTGGTCACAAAAGGAGTGTGCGACGAGGGCAGGATAGCTTCGAACTCTTTTTTGCTGTGGAATGCAGCAGCGGTGAGGGTTTCCACGAAGGACCTGAAGATCGGGAAAGGAATGAGGAGATTGTGGTGAGGTTGGTTACATTGGTATTGTAGAAATATACCTAAATGTACTCTATATAATTAGTAAAACTTATTAACATTTAATGGTTTAGCCTATAATTGATGGTTCGTACTAAAATAACAACGAATCAGTGTCAAAGTAATTGGCATCTTTTTTTGACATTCAGTGGACATCATGAGATTCCAGAATCTTAAATGAATGTTACTGAGCACTAACATGCTGCTACTATGAAAATAATTATTCCGATGTGAAAAGGCACATCACATCTTGGCGCAACACTGCCGCCACCACTGCAGTGCACCTGCTCGACATCACATGTTTCCGCCCAGCTGCCAGTCTTGTGACTCTGACGTCATTGCGGGTCACAGCGTCATCATCATCCTCCCTGGCTGTGAACAGCTACACTTCTGTCCTTAGGTTGTCTACGCGAGGCCGCCATTTTGACACACAAAAAGAAGCTAACCATTTTTGTAGCTACCACGCCGTCACTCGTGACAGCGTCACAGATAATTAAGAAACGCAGTCCTTAGCGATTCTATTAGTTTAAATGTTTTTGGTGAACTGAATCTATTATCAAAATGTAACGTTTGCTATTAAAGCAATGTATTAACATTACGTCATCTCGGTGGCTATATGCTTGAATTACAATATAATGAGTGTATATAGAACCATGCGACGTTTCAGATACAGTCAAAAGAAATGTGGACGTCGAACTTTATTTTTAAGCCGAAATTCAATGCGGCCTCGCGCCCTTGGTGACGTCAGACCGCACGGCCACAGTGGGTCGTACAGCTGTCATCGACGAGATGATTTAAAAAAAATAGAAATAATACTTACGACATGTTTCTGGTTAGAAAGTGGAGCAGTGCACTGGCTGGATGCACTGTTTTGTTGGCGGCGGGGACGCGGCGCACTTCTACTTTGCCATTTCGGCCAACGGGGCGATGTTCGACAAGGATGTTGCTTCGTTTGTTGTTTCTCGGAAAAGAAAATGGCGTGAGTCGTGGCACGGTCTTCATATAGTTCAAGTAAGCAGTGGCGGTATCCTTCCGCGGTGCCCCTCATATCCCTGCGCCATTGTTGTCGTCCCACAGCCCGTTCATACGCTACTGTCGTGGTAGAAAAAGTAGCGACTGGAATTCGCCTCAAAGATATATTTCCATTTACTCTGAGGTTTTATTGAATTTTTTATTTTTTTAAATAGTCAATATATTAAGTAGTGAAACGTTATTACAAGGGTAACTGTAATACTTGGTATATACAGCATTTTTTCTCCAGCCTCTCTCACAAGCACTAAGACATACACAACAAGAAGTTTCTTTGATTCAACAAAACCTTCTCCACATGCGATTCAGGTGAAGTAGTTCTCCGTACAGATTTTCAGCCAGCAGGCGAACTCTACCCGAAAACTGGCTTTTGCTCGACATCCTTAGCTTCTCGCCTTCCTTTCCCGTAAAGTACGCATCTATTTCCTTTACAAAAGCCAGGAGCAGTCTCTCTGACGACATCCCTTGTGTCTGTGAAACGGAGGTCCCCCTAGCCATGTTTATGTTATTCCTCAACACAGACTTTGACAGGTGTGCCATATTCAAGGAGTCCTGCCGGGCTCCTGCCCGTTGTAGCCTGGCAAAGTCGTGCCTTTGAAGCTCAATCATCCCATCGAGGATAAAGCCCAAGCAGTGCTCGAGATCGACGACGTTTGCCTTATAATCGTCTACTAGTTTCTCAACTGTCATCCTATTCACAATCTTCTTCTTGGCCTTGGTAGTGTAGACGCCCATGCCCCCAGCGGACGCCACCATACCAGCCCCGATAGCTGTGGCAATCAGGGAGGCACCCATGGTCATTGGAGCGAAGGCGATACCCAAGACGGCGGTCACCCCTCCGACAGCGCCCGTGGTGCCCCCGGCAGCATTCATGGTTTTGCTCTCCTTCTTCGACTTGTCCAGAGAGTCGGAGATGGAGATGAAATCCCTGACGTGTCTGTGCAGGTTTTCCTTGCGTTCGATCATGAGGAGGTTGTAGAGACGCACGGCCTGTCTCACATCCGCCGCTCGCTTACTGAACAACCTGCATCGGGTCGATGACAAAGAAAACCTGCTTCTTCATCCAGCTCTTTCAGTGAAATTCTATATTTATTACAAGTTTTGATACCCGAAAGGCCATGCCTATTTAAATATCTACGACACTTCAACAAAAAACTGTAGCTGTCTTTATTGCATTATTAGTCCTCTTAGACATTTTGTAACACAGAACTACTGGTACCAAAATGACACAGTTTGTTCACAAGAAGGAACTGATATCATAGTGTCTGTGTGATTACCTGATTTCCTCCTCTGTGCTGAGGCCATACACGGAAGAAGCCAAGGAGTCAGATTCTGTCACAGCACAGAGATTGATGAGTACACTTTGATCCTGCTCTGTGCTTCTCCGGATGCTCCTTCTCGCATGATGACTCATTTATTTATTCAATTATGGCACATTTTGTTTATAATTATTACGAGTACAAATTTTGTCGGTCAATACAATGTTGTATGATATTTCTTCAAGCTTCAAGAAAATGACACAATATCTGTACAGAAAATAAATGTTGTACCTACTCGATACTCTTTTCAACCATGTCAACAACCCGTTGATGTCCTGGAGAGAAAGGGATGTATATGTGTCAAAGATCATTTTATCTTGTTTTATTTATTCACTTTTTATTGCTTTATTCTACGTTATGTGTGATGCTGAGACAACGTACATTTGTATAATATAACACAGATTGTTCTCGTATTTTGCACGGCCAAGACTTTGCACACAAATGGATGTTTTAGAAGACATTCGTCACAGAGATAATTATATAGTATATAAGTATTTTATTCATGACACTTTCTAAAACTCTGAATAAAATGAACAAAAAGCGGTACCTCTGCATTGTCAGTGGTCTGTTGATGAGGATAGTATTGCCCAATCGGGTAGCATCCTGTTGGCCTTTCAGGTGGCTGCTAGTGTTCGATGACACAGATTAATGGATCAGAATAGAATTGGAGCATAGCATTGTATATATATATATACACATATGCTATGTGGGGATCTGTATCTCACCATTGTATCTACGTCTTCTGACAGAACGTCCAGGTAGGGAGGAAGGTCTATCTCGTAGTACAGTGGATCCGATGTCCTCTCGGGCGGTGGAAGGGGAGGCGGGGAGAGTGCCGGTCGTGGTAGTCTGCACTGTAATAAACAAAGAGTTGGTAATCAACTGTACTGCACAGAGATCCAACAGCATTTCTCCAGAGTATACCTTCAATGTTTTTTTAATCTTCTTCACACTTTCAGGAATAACTTGTGGAGATACAAATATTTTGCCGGAGAGCTAAGAACTTGGTTTGACCAGGAACGAGGATGATCTCTACTGACCAACTTCATCTTTCGAGGGACATTTTGTATTTTCAATCAATTAACGGGTGGAATTAATTAATAATCCATGTCCAAGTTTTTTTCATTGACATGAACCCCCTAAACAAACTGCTTTTAAAGAAGAGGCAGCTCTGTTATATCTTCTGTGCTGCTCTTTGAAGAGTGCATATTCAATTTATAGTTTTTGAAGCAACTTAGTGTCTCAACGGGGGGGGTTGTCATTTAGCCCTACCTGAAAATGCCTTTCAGGCTTAAGCTCTATATGAGTCATATTGTCTATTCACGCTGACAGAAGTCTTTTTTTGGGGGGGGGGGGGGCCTGAATTGTGCAGCGGCTCTCATACCTGTGGGTGCGAGGTTCCAGGCACAAAGGAGGGTCGAGGCGGAACTGCAGGTTTTGTTTCTGTGCGGTACGTGACCTGAAAAAACAAAAGATCTATCCAAGATAACAAGAAAACCAAATAACACCATTGAGCACATTACTGGTTATACGTATCATGTATTTATTCATACATGGTACGAGGGGGGGTTTAGCTGTTGCAGAGATGTTGGGATGAGCTTTACCTCAGGTCCGACCCTCATGGTAGATCTTGTACTTTCAGGGAAAGAGGGAGGAGGGGGACGTGCAGGAGGAGATTTTGTTCTCTTAGTATTGACCTCAGGGTTCTGTGAGAGAAATTTAGGAGTAGAAAGTAAGCTGTATAATTCTAGTTTCCTTTGTATCACGTAAGCGAAGATGGGTAATGCTTCTAGTAACAAAACATATGGCCATCTTTCAAGGACTGAAATGAGGCTTGTTATTTTGTCTCACAGCTGGCTGAGGAATTGAAGTCAAGGAGAGATTGGTGCCGTCCATCGCAGGTATCCTAGGTTGGATTATCGGTGGACAGGGAGGAGAGCCAACAGGCCGAGGCGCCTCATGTTTACTGAGTTGGGAGGTCTGACGACAGAGAGAAATTAAGAAAAAACAAATGCATGCTAATTAATATGAACTATCGTGACTTAATCTGAGAGTCAGTATCAGCACTCACCACCACACTGCTTGCATTGCTGCGTGTGACTGCACAGTCAACACTGTTGTTGTTGTTGTTGTTGTTGTTGTTGTTGCAATTGGACTTTTGTTTAAATCCAGACCTGGGATGAGGCACAGGCTTGACTTTATCCTCTGACTGGCTTCCCACCGTGACTGCAGCCTGGGAAGAAAGAATGTGAGGCGACATTGTGGTGCATGAGGAGATAGCTCGATAGGGAGGGGAACTTTTTCTTAATCCGGTAGCTCTAAAGATGAAACACGGAGATAACACGGAAAGGACACATTTACCAGCATTCAGAGAACAGGAACTTGTGTTTACCTCCGGTTCATCCGGGTCTTTGGAGGCCGACTGTGCGATGTCATCGCAGCCGGTGACTTCGTACTTCCTCCTGGGGGGTTTAGGCGGCTACGGGGTTCAATGGGGGTAGACATGAATCGTCTGATATGAGAACCAATGAGAGAAACCACCAATTCACCGGTTTAAGATTGATACCCGTGCACTGTATCAGTGGGCTGAACTTCAAGTTGTACACAATGAATGTTTATTTTAATTACACCGTAGTTTTACTCAGCAACTCAAACCCCTTAAGACATTTAAGTGAATCATTACAGTCAACATGTTAACAATAATAACACTTATTGTGTCCCTAATGACTTTATAAAACACAAGAGAAGCTCTTTATAACATGGCGCTGTTCCAATTTAGCAATTTTGATGATTCCCGCTACAGAGCACAGTGAATATAAAGCATAATATATACACATTAAATCCAAACCTTCGAGACAGTGAAGGTTTCTGACGGACAAACTCTCAGTCAAAATAACAAAAGTTCTGTTTGTAACATTCGTGCTTTTTGTCCTTTTCAGGCCTAAATCTTAAGCAGTCCTTTCCCTGATGACCAAGTCAAAATGTCTGCTGGGACTTAATGTACAGACCTCCAGACATGATGGGCAACGACTGTGAGTTGGTGATGCATTTAACCAGTGATGGACGAAGCGCCCTACACGTTGTTGTTGTTGTTTTTACTCACCACCACCACACAAACCTCACATTCTATTTACTATTTCACTATTTACATGTTTCTGAATCTCTCGACAAGAGTGAGAGGAGAAGCGAGCGATGTGAAAGAAGAGTCAAATGAGGGATCTACAGTAAGCATTGGCCCAGTATACAGTAGCAATGCTGTGAAAAATAAAAATACGTGTAGTTCAATATATACTTTACATTTTTGTTGTATCCTTCAGGCTGAACTCCTTAATTAATTACATATTTGACCATTGGTACACAACAGAAAGAGGTGATTCTTACCATCAAGGTATTGCTCTGTTTGATCCTTTACTTTCACATCCAGTTAGAAATACTAAGCAGTTCCCTTAACCGTCCATTGATGTCTTTTTGTCTTTCTTTCCGTCCACAGGTGAGATTTCCCTGTAGCATTACAAAAAAAAATTCCAAATATTACATATGTAAGTTGTAAAGCTTGCAACCCAGATACAAGCTCTCCGGTGTGAGGATGTTGAACAGATTTAAAGTCATGACCTGCAGGCTTACACTCCTATTACCGACCTTTAAAACCAGGACCCACTTTTATGCTCCAAGTCAGACGGAAGACAATAAACCGTGTGAGTATCTTCACGCCAACGCTTTGTCTTGTCTGTGCTGGGATCGTGAAAACTGGCTCAACAGGCCAAGGGAGTTTTCCAATTGTGTTAGGATGTATTCAGTTCTTTCAGTTACTGTGCTTTTCACAGTCACACATTTGCATACTGAGTGACGCTGGCTGAAGAAATGTTTGACTTAAAAAAACCAATTTGCTTGTTGAGCGTCTTGCAGAGATTTAGATCACAAAGAGATGGATGACACTGTTGTGGCTGTGTTGTGAATGTGCAGCTGGAGTCACCAAATCAACAGGATCATTGCGCACACTAAGCATTGTCCACGACTCCATCTCTGCAAGCTACCTAATCCTTTGTTGTGCTTTCCACTTCATGTGCGAGGTGCACATTAACATGTTTGACATTTGACCTGTCTCGGGATGGAGAGTTGAAAAACATACTTTAAGCATACTGGTTTAGCCTTGTGTAGTTGATTGATTCTGGGTGGCTCTTTGATGCAGCTTCTCCACCGAAAAGAACTTGGGACTTAAAATTGGTCATCCAAAATGCTCAAGCCTACGGAATTTAAATGAGATTGTTAAGCAAAGACACCGAACGGAAAATGAAAATGATGTGAAGATAATTCAAAAAGATTATTGTTCAGATTGCTGAAAAAAATACAGTACACAATTACTGTATTATGATTCACAGTGAAAATATATTTTATTATTTGCATAATACGATTCACCTGGGAATTAATCCGCACCACAATGCTTTACAGATCTACATCAATGAAGTTATACGAGAGGGTTCTACAGTGAGCATTGGCCCAGTATACAGTAACACTGCTGTGAAAATATTGTAAATGGTAAAAATATTGTCTTTCTTTTGATGCGAGGCAAGAGGCAAGGAATAAAGGGAAATACAGGATTTATGAGATCAGCGAATATTCCACTACCATACTAGGGGTTATAGGTTATAGCTAAAATGTGGTTTGCATTTTGAAGCCAACGGCTGCCCCCTGGAGGAGCTTTCATATATTAAACTGTTACGTGGTTAGTTTATTCTCAGTTTTGGAAAAAATATATATGTTTAAAGAAATACTCCAATTTGGGGGATCTGTTAGGGTCAGTTATGACAAGGAATTCCGAGAATTGAAGCAACACATGCGGAAATGCCTCAGACTTCAAAAACACTGGAGTGAAAAGCATCATTGGACCTTCCCTGGCTCCCAGTGGGGCCTCCCTTTGATAAAGGGGACGTTGCAAACTGGTGACATGGAGTTTGTCTAACAAAGGCTGCTGTTGGGCTGATGTAGGTCTTAGTTTTTTTTTAAGCTATAGTCACTAAAAGTGTTGGCCACAATTTTATGATCTGTCTCCCAATGCAAAAAATGAAGGATTTTTTTTATTTTAAAATTTTATTAGGAGAGGCAGTAATGTCATTTGTTACGCCTCCAGGACCAAAGAAATTCTTCACCAGCAGCGCAGGATTTGATAAAGCCGGGGACAGCATCACACTGACTTCTTTACTTATGTCTATTTTAATCTGGTTGTATTTATGGTTTCTCTGTGGAAAGGTACTTTGTTAAAAGAATGTTTTCTATTGTATGAAACGTTGTCTCAGCTGCAATTTTGTAAACATTAACACAATGTTCTAGTCTGTGCGCTATCATTCGTTTCCCAGTCGACTCGTGACCCCTCAAGCCCGAATACACCGGTTTGTCATGCGGATGATGGACACCTTCCTCCACCAATGGGAGCACCTCACTGATCCCTGTCCTCCAATCACTGCGCCCCATAGCGGGGAAAGCCGAGTAAAGGCGAGTAAAGCCGGACGTTGCCGAAAGGATTTCACTGAGCGTCCTGCGTCAGTTGAAGGAAGTTAATAGTCGTTAGTATCAGACACATTACAGAAGTGTCCGACATTTCTACGAGGACAGTAATGACACGGCTGAAGATGTTTTGTGTCATCGGGGCGCTGCTGATTATACAAAGCGCCGCCATAATCAGGTAAATGCTTTTTAACCGCTGATATATTGGCAACGGGAGTGAGCTAGTGATGAAGTTATCACTGATAACTTTAACCTAACTGTGTGTAATCTGTCTGTGCTGTTGATGCTAGTTAGTGCGCGCGCGCGATTACTTCCTCGTTATGTCCTCGGGTCACGTGTTTCCAATTACAGAAACGAACGCAGTATAATTTCACCAAGGATATGGCTCGAGACCCTCTTTGATTTAGGAACACTGAACTTGAGTTTTTTTTTTTTTTTAATTATGATGAAAATAAAATTGCAATACATATATAATTTATGTACAAAACAACATATTGCCCCCCCCCCACACTTTTAACATTTTAAAATCTGATATTGTTTAATATGATTATGTGCACATGATCAGAGTTGTGGGATCCTTACTGTTTGCCATCAGCATTTCTAATCAGTTTATTATCCGTTTCCTCATTTGCAGGGTGCCGCTTCATAAAACCAGGAGCCTGCGCCGCGTGATGAGCGACAATGGGATGTCTCTGGAGGAGCTCCGGGCTTTGGCCAGCAGCTACGCCCCACCGGACGGCTCCCCCTCCCCCGACGTGCCCGTGGAAAGGCTCACCAACTTCATGGATGTATGTGTCGCACAGAATCACGTCAATCAAAAGCTTCCGTATCGGCGGATCTCCGTGTCATCGACTTGTCTCCTCAGGCCCAGTACTACGGGGTGATCAGCATCGGAACCCCGCCGCAGGACTTCACTGTGCTGTTCGACACCGGCTCCTCCAACCTGTGGGTGCCCTCCATCCACTGCTCTTTCTTTGATCTGGCCTGCTGTGAGTGACTCCTTCTGCATGCACCTCTACACCTGCGTCTCTGTTGGCCTCCTTTCCCAAGCAGCAACATCACATCAGTATGAAGGAGTCGGCGTTCTGGTACAAATGTGGTGGCTAACGTTGTGCGCGCTGTTCCTGCAGAACATCCTTGTGACTAGTGGTCCTCTCTCTCTCCCTCTCTCTCTCTCTCTCTCTCTCTCCAGGGCTCCACCGTCGCTACAACTCCAAGAAGTCGAGCACATTCGTCAAGAACGGCACCGAGTTCTCCATCCGGTACGGCCGAGGCAGCTTGTCCGGCTACATCAGTGGAGACACTGTCTCTGTGGGTTTGAAAAAACAATGTCACATGAGCTCTTCTGTTTAACTGCATTTCTCAATTATAGTGGTCACGCTGTTCCTATCGTTTCATTAAAAGCCCCTCTGCTCCCCGTTGGCATTGGCGTCTCTCCTCGCAGGTTGCAGGACTTCCTGTTCCCGGACAGCAGTTTGGTGAAGCGGTGAAGCAGCCGGGCATCACCTTTGCGGTGGCGCGGTTCGATGGGGTTTTGGGGATGGCCTACCCCTCCATATCCGTGGCCAACGTCACCCCGGTGTTTGACACGGCCATGGCCGCCAAGCTCCTGCCCCAGGATGTTTTCTCTTTCTACATCAGCAGGTTGGTCGTCTGACCGAAGCGCCGGAACGATATTCATAATGCAGAAGTGTTTGGGCACATGGGGGGTGTTTGATTGTTCTGTCTGTCCTCCCCCGACTCTCAGAGACCCAACAGCAGCAGTAGGTGGAGAGCTGATGCTGGGCGGGACAGACCCCAAATACTACACCGGGGACCTGCACTACGTCAATGTCACACGAAAGGCCTACTGGCAGATGAAGCTGAGCGGGTGAGGTTCTTCTCATTAGCATTACTATAAGAGGGAACCGTGGAGGTATGCTAACTGGGAACATATCATGCATTCCTTGATGTAGTAATGTTAATTACTTTTCCAACCGCAGATCATCATGATCATATTTATTCATCCTAAAAAGGTGTCTTTGAGATTGCGTCAAAAACTTGTCTTAAAAGCTGCACCCCAACGCATCTCTTGGCGTGTGTCCGCCTTCTTGTAACCGATGCCTCTTGACCGCCCCGCAGAGTGGATGTCGGCAACCAGCTGACTCTCTGCAAAGCCGGTTGCCAGGCGATCGTCGACACGGGAACGTCCTTAATCGTCGGCCCCGTGGAGGAAATCCGAGCGCTGCACAAAGCCATCGGAGCGCTGCCCCTGCTGATGGGAGAGGTAGCGTTGATGCGTGCCGAACAGAAGCTGCCTGACGGGAGGACGCCGTGTCCGCCGGTGTGACCTCTCACTTTGGGTTTGTCTCTCTGTTCTAGTACTGGATCAACTGCGAGAAGATCCCATCCCTCCCCGTCGTCTCCTTCATCATCGGGGGGAAGATGTACAACCTGACTGGAGAGGATTATGTCATGAAGGTAGAGTCACTAACCAACCAGGCCCATAATGAAAGTATATCCACAATATAATAACGTGTCACCCTAATCTCTTGAAATATTTTCTTTTTTTTTTGCAAATGGATTATTTTTTGTCTGAACGTGTCGTCCCTCTCAATTTTTGATGCAGGAGACTCAGATGGGGTCATCGATCTGTCTGTCGGGCTTCATGGCCATGGATATCCCGCCTCCCGCCGGGCCCCTGTGGATCCTGGGGGACGTGTTCATCGGGAAGTACTACACCGTGTTCGACAGGGCCGCCGACCGGCTGGGCTTCGCCCCGGCCAAGTAGCCCGCCGCGAAGCGCGTTCCCACGTCTCGGTTCTTGTGGTATTTGCTTTTTTCGAGGTTGCAACGAGCAAAAGCTGCATTTGGTCACAAACGTGGTGTGATTTCATTTGCAGCCAATCAGAAGCTCTCGTGTAACCCTGCAGGAACTGGCTCTCCACGTTCATATCTCACATCTGCTTAGAGGTTTCCTTGTGAGCACGCACAGAGGCTCCACTGAACAAAGGCTTCCTTTCAAGCTGCTTTTCGGTTTGATATGGCAGGATTTACTCCGACTGCTGCTTTATGACGTATTATTGCTGTTTTTATACTTTTTGTAATTTAGATGCCTGAGCAAACGCAACTAAAGCTTTCGTACGGACGTTTGTTTTTGCTCTTCCTAACAGTTCCACATTTTTAGTTCCCAATTTTTAGTTGGGGCTGCTTTTGTACGTTTTCATTTTGTGCCAAATCTGACAAAATAAAACTCTTTTGTCTAATGGCTTTGTTTACTGATTTTTCATCGTGTGACATTCATTTCTACCCTCAAACATGGGATCCCTGAACTTTCTTACCAGGTTCATGGAAGACAATATCTCGGACTGTAGTGGTTTGCGCACAGCAAAAAGTGGAAAAAACATGTCAATAAGGACAAGTGTGTGTGTGTTATTGGGAGAGAATCTTTTTCAAAATATATTTTTAAGAAACAAGTCAAATGTGGCACGGAAACAGGTCCAGGTCCACAACCGGTGGTTGAAGCACACTGCCTTGGGGGGGAAAAGTACAGGCCTACAGGATAACTGTCATCATTTAATGAAGTATACAAAGTGCTGAACGTTTCAACTCCATAGCTGAACATAGAAAAGAAAAAAATTAATCTGGGGAAAACACAGCATGCAACAAAGGATGGGCTAGTGTGAACCCCTCCAGGCAGAGGTAGTGATCTACTTTGGGCTTTTGTTTCAAAGTGTGGCACAGTGAATCTCTTCAGCGCAGCAGTGATGTGTAGCATAAATAAAAATGCAAACCGACAGGTCCACTTTATATCAGAACACCAGAACAAAGCACAGTTAGGGATTCTATACATGTGGAGTTGAAGCAAATAAATAGTCTGCTCTTATTTGGTTATGAATATACAATACAAAAATATTCACCTGTGTCTGTTATCTGGATGATTGTTAACTATAAAACCACCCGAATCCTTGCGCCTCGTACACCACACAAACTGGGGACTCCACCTCATCTCACTGCATCGGTTTCATTCTAAGGCTAAAAGTGGGAACATAAAGCAACCATGAGGTTCATCCAGACGACACGTTTACAATATTCATAAGAGAAAAGGCTTTTGTTTTAGTGACTCCACCTACTGTCACCTGACTTTAGCACCACCAACATCGGCTCCCAAAGCTGCTTTTCTCTCACTGATGCTCTGAGTAGATCCCGGTCTATCCCAGCTATTAATACACAGACTGGACAGACAGGGATTATGCATCATGACACGGCCTCGCTCGCTGCACTAATTCCTACATACATCCGGGTTTAATGTGGTTTGAGAACAAGAGCAGGTGTGTGGACAGACACCGATACGGAAAACTCCCGAGGTATCCAGCTCCGTGCTCTCGCTGCACTGATGAGGTGATACTGAGAGGAATTCACCAAAAGACGAACGGCGTCGCTATGACTACAGTGAGGCTGATACACTTGACATGTTCAGTCAATACTGAGGGCGAACTTAAATTGAAGCGAAAACCAGGAGAAATCACTTTCCGAATGTCCGGAGACATTTGAGCAACTCGTTAACCTTCAACAGTGCAAAATGACCTGGGATGGAGGTTGTAAAATAAACAAACACAATTAAATAAAGCATATTTGACCTGTGGACCAAAGCAACAAATGTGAGACTGAAGACAGAAAAAAAAAAAAAAAAATCCTTTTCCGTAAACAAAGAGCCGCTTTGTACCAGGCCGAAAGTCACATGGAATTCTTTTCAGTCTATAAATAAATGAGATTATCCAGGCAACGTCACATTTACCGAAGTTTCCGTATATCGTAGAAGTAGAACACATTTTACACACACTGTATAACTGCAGTTATTCAAACACCTTGACCTTCAGGAGTGAACTCCATCCAGTAACGAGCAGTATTTCCTATTATGTGTGGTAACAAAAAGGAGCATAAAAAGACGATTAACAGCCTCTCTGGGCTGATCAACAGTTTATTAGCTTTGGGTTTGGCATACAAACACAACCAATGTCACACTCTCTTCCTTGACACAGAGGATCCATCTCAAAACAGAGCAAAAGACATTTGACTGTAACGTGCCGTGTGTCTGTCTGAACCTCTCCAACAGGTTAGAAAGAGCTCAAAGATGATGCGGGCGTACATTTTGATGGGACCACCCAATGCCCGCCCCAAATCTTTAGACCCTGACGCATGTCTGCTCGTAAATACATTAATACTTCGGCTCTCATGAGAGCCATGAACTCTGATGAGCCGTCACTTCTGAGGATTAAAATAGTAGTCGCATGATCGCACCACATCCAGCCTTTATCGCGGATCCCGAGACGACGTAACTGCTACTGTGTGCAGACACTTTCTGATGAGAATTAAGACCAAAGAGACTGAGGATGATTCCATGCTGCCGTTTGTTTCTTTTGATTTCCTCCCCAGGAAACCTCGGCGTGACTCGAGGTCACCATTGCCCACTAAACAGTGGTCGAGATTTCAACCCTGCGTTGCTGTGCATTGGCGCTGCTGTACGATGGAGGGGGGGGGGGGGGGGGGGGGCGGTGTCAGAAATGGGGGGGCTGGGCCCACCGCAGTCTCTCAGCAGCCCCTCGGGGTCCGAGAGGGCGCAGTACAGCGTGTACCCCAGCTCGTCCACTTCCTGTTCGGTCAGCTCACAGAACAAGTTCACCTTGGGGCTGAGGGCGCACGGCAGCCGGCCCGCCTCCAGGTGTCCCACCAGGGCTCGTAGCAGCTGTAGGAACCGGTCGGCCAGCGCCTCCTGGGTCCAGTCGCCTTCTTTCTCGCAGAGCAACAAGATGGCGTTGGTGAGCTGGCTGGCGTTGAGCCGGTTCAGGGCGGGGTTGAGCTTGCACACGGCCTTCGCCAGCTTCAGGCAGGGGCACCGGACGCCTCCGTCCTCCTGGTCCAGGGCCCTGAGTCGAGCCGTCTCGGCCACGCGGAAGCTCTGCCGCCACAGGTTGCCGTGGCGCTCCGCGGCAAGCCGGTGGGGTTTGGCGATCAGCGAGGTTCCGTCCTCCATCACGAGCAGCGGCAGGAAGTCCACGTACAGTCTCCGGTCCGTCTCGTACTGCACCTCCAGGGTCAGTGTTTCAGAGGGAACCACGGGGCGAATGATGTAGTCGAGGACGCTGCCTATCGCCGGCCAGTTGATGGAGCCCGCCACCAGCTTGTCGAAGACCTCCAGGACCGATTTCGGGGAGAGGTAGCCTCCGACCATGCAGCGGTCCCAGTAGCTGTTGCTCCGCGGGAAGTACTCCAAATTCTCCCTGCGGACGAGCCAGAAACCCGGAACATTCATGATGGTGTCCTCCCCGGGGATGGACGACCACAGGTTCTTCTCCAAGATAAGCGGCACCATGAGCTGGGCGTGGTCCGCTGTCACCACCTCAAAGAGGGAAGAAGGGGGGGGGGTTAGAGACAGGCGGAAGACTTTCACAAAACAAATGCTTTCTCAAAGGGCGGTGAGTAAAGCTTCCGCTCAGAGTTTAGATTCCTTAGTCTAAAATAAGGGTCAAATGTAAGTAAGCTCTTACCTGCAGCTCATCATACAGACTGCCACTCAGGTACATCTCTCTGAGCGGCATGTCAGGCAGTTTGGCGTGAAGGAACACCCTGAGTTCTGCACAGATGTCCAGCGCTGCCCTCCTTGCCAGAGCCTGCTCCTCAGCGGGGATGTTTACATTGCTTTGGTAGAACTCCCACAGGTGCTCCTGCAGGGACAGACGCATTCGGGCCCGCTGCATGTCCGACTCAGTGGCGCCACTGCCTCCCACGGCGGCTCGACCCACAGCCCTACGCAGACAGTCTGAAGAGATCAGAAGCCGTCAGATGGTTTTGAAACAGAGGCAGTGGCAATGTTGAAAAAGATATTAGAGGCAAGGGGTTTGTTTTCAAAAATAATAATAATCTACAAATACTAAACAAAGTGGCTTCTACAGTATTTCACAAGGTCCAAAATTCAAAAAGGGTTCTACTACATATGAAACAGCTGGTTGACTAACTAACTGCACCACAGAGAGCAAACACCCACTGTAAAGGAAGAGCAAGAATCCTCCAGATAGGCAGTCTGTCAGACAAATACAATGACAGCTGGCTGAAAGTCTTAACCAACAAAACAGGCGGGTCAATACTGCGTAATATAATAATACAACATGGGTAGGTGGGGGGGGTGGGGGTCATTTATCCTCACCTGGTTCAAAAGCATGTGAAGAAGTGGGCAGAGACTGTAGAGACCTGCTAACTGTGGACTTCATGTCATGGTTCAGTACCCGCGGGGACGAACCCATCCAGGCGGGCTCCTCCCAGCTTCTCCTTCCTGTCGGCTCAATGTTGGTGGGGCTGGTCGGAGCGCTTATGGCTCGGTCATACATCTGCACAACAAGAGACTCATGAGCACGTCGGTTGGGATGCTGAAGTACGAGCATCCGTGGGAGTGGAGGGGTGAGACGAGTCGCCTCTCACTTACTCGTTTGACGGCGAGTGTCGCGATGCCGAGCATGGCAGCTCCTCCCACTCCCAGCACAAGCTTGGCATTGGAAAGCATGAAGTCAATGGCAGTGCCAATCCCATTGTCATCTTTCTTCCCTTTACGGTCTCCATTCACCCCCGCCATCCTACCACTGAAACACAGGAGAGAAAGAAGAAAGAGTTAGACGGGGGGGGGGGCTTTCTTCTGCTGCTCAGCTCAGAGGGCATGATTGAATATCGCCCAAGCAGAAAGCGTATGAGTGGTCAAATACTGCTCCCGTGAAGAGCACGTCCATATTTGAAAACCCACCTGATGCACCTCCGGATGACCTTGAACCCACCCGCCGATGACCCCTTTCCCCCCTACATAAGCCCACCCAGTCGGCTGTTGAGGAAGAACTGGCCCCTCCTCAGCGCGTCCTCCTTATCCTCCGGCACGGTCAGGTCTTGGCAGCGGCGAAACTCGCGAGCCACGGCGCGGCGATAGTAGTTGCGATCCGTGTGCTGAAGGTGACGGCCCGCGCGGAGCAGCGCCCGGTAGAGCTCCAGCACGGCACTGCGAGACCAGCCGCCCATTAGGGACCACACATGGAGAGGGGGGACACCCTGGCTCCTAGGGGAAAGGAGAGCAGGTCATGTGATGGAGGAACTGACGTGGGAGGCGGCGCGAACGAATAGAGGATGTGATCTTAGAAAGGTTCTATGACCTCGATCAGCAGAGGATGTACCTGGAGCAAAGAGGAAGAAGAGTAGGCAGAGAGCAAGAGTTCGCTACTGTAGAGATGGATTAAACGTTGTATGTACCGTTATTGCATTAAGAAGTCATAAGAAGGATGAACCTTACAGCATTTCACTATTTGTTGGTAATTGCGTGGTTCTAAATATTAGTATTCAGGTAAACAAAAAGAAAAACATCAGCACAAAATTGATTCATGACTAATGTAGGAAACGTTTTGTCCAGTCTTTGCCCTGGAGAAAGAGATGTTAAGTAACGTTAATAAGATTACATTTAACGTTAAGAGGAAGCCACTTGTTAACTCAAAGGTTTAACGCTTTTCACTTTACATTTAACGGTTCAGATGGTTTTCCTTCCTACGCAAAGCAGCCCCTCTGGTTTTGACTACACCGGCCGCGAAACAACGTTATCGTAATCTAACGATCTTAAATGGTCTTTAGAAAATGTCTGGCTTATCGGAAAGTCACACATTCGCTCACTCTTGATTAGCATGTTAGCTCGACATGCTAACTAGCCGCGCGGCTCCGACACCGCTGACCTTACCTTTAAACAGCCGTGTTGACAAGGCGCGCGCACGCAACGAATGCGGGGGACAAAGTGCAAGCAACTACACAAGTACACAAACAACAATAAACAAAAACACGCAAACGTACGTTTCAGAAATGAGACCAAAGGTTATGTCTTCAGCTTCAGACAGAGCTGCTCTCAAGTCGGGGGGGTCAGAGTCGACATCGATAAACCGGAAGCAAAAACTACTTGCATTCTACATCCGGGTTGTTATAACTTTATTACGATCCATTTTAGAACATATTATTACTTTACTCCTTCACTACTCTTTGCTAATGATCTGTTTGCCACATTTTAGAGATTTTACATAAAGAATTTAAGAATCGTTTAAAAATACTTTTGTATTTATTTATCTTTATTTGTCTCCATGTGTCATCTAGTTTTATGATGTTAGAATTACTTCTAGTGCTTGCTGGGATCAATTAATATAATATAATAAGTAAGACTGTGATATAGAAGGAAGCGGTTGTGATCCGTTTTTTCACGTTCACCTGGAATATATATTATGTCCTATAAGAAAAGAAATGGATTACAATATATCAGATAAAAAATAAAAACTCAACATCTAGCATCCATTGAGATGTCATTTTAGGGGGGTTCTACGTAACGTTACAACTCAATATAACAACAATGTGACGTGATTTAGGTCAGTATACTGTTCCTCATGGAGCACCTAAATACTTCAAGGCAGCGTACTGCATTTCAGTGAGCCGTCATAGTAATCATACTCATTTGCTGTGCAGGAACCTTTATGGTATCCGATTTATACCAAACGGCCACTTGCAAATTAAAAGTCTGAGCGGTTTGAAATTACTATTACTTTAGTAATGATGCGTTTAGGAAGAGCATCATCTTCAGAGCTTCAAACACCCTTCAAAATATTACGTTTTCTGGAGTTCACTGGCCGGGTTGTGATAAGAAGTAAATATTTGTGTTATACTTATAATATTGTGATATTGTGTTACTTTTTACCAGAAACCTGCCGTACAGGGTATTTATCCATGTAAACATTTGTATGTGTGGGTGAGCAAATTCTGTCTGCGTTCTTATTTAGTGAATCAATTTGCCACAGAATACTATCTTTCTATGTAAAAAACACAAAGCGAAAAGTCCAAATGATCACCTTTAACATGAAATTAAAAGTAATTTATGATCTCGTCATTCTGTAACATTAGATTGTTGGTGGTAACTTTGACAATCAACGCAGATTTTTTCTTTGCATTGCCTTTTTCAGGTTTTTGCTTAAGCATGCAAATGGGTAAGTGGCTGGAGAATGATATTGACCAATGAAAGTGATTTTAAAGAATTACTTAACAGTAGACCGAAAGGTGGTGTGTAGATTGAAAAAGTACTGGCTGTTTCACAGATGAAATAACCAGATGAAATATCTTTATATATAAAGACTGTTATGAAACAATACAAGTCATTTGAATACATTAATAATAATAAAATGTACAAGTACTAAAACAAATAGTTTTCATGAACAAACAGTTATCATGTTTCATGTGTATAGTTGGACAAATGTATACATTGTGTTGTACTTTTAGTGAATCGGCAAGAGGTTGACAACTATCAATCAAAACCATGTATATACAGTTAAAAAAAAGTTTATTTGCTTCCTGTAACCAAAAATTCAACTCTTCTGATACATTGTTTTTTTTTACTCTGAAGGGAACACGGTTTACATAGGATAATATGACAGGATTATTTTAACACATCTCGTCTAAGGATCTGTATTATTAAAGCATTTAATCCAAACTCCATATTTTTCATTGGCCCCATATCTACAGGTGTATCCTATCTAAGGGCCTGTTGACCTGTGGAGTGGTTTGATCAAGGCATGTACTTGGCTCCTTTCATCCTCGGAATGATATGTAAATCTCTGATGTCATCATGCTGAAGCAGCCAACACAAGTAGCGCTCCGTCCCCATGCCCCATCCACTGGTCTGGAGTGGTTTCACTTGCCGCATGTCAATGTACCATTTGTAGGACTGTTCCGGCACTGCATGGTGCCTGAGGGCATCTTTCACCATCTCAGGGTTAGAATGCCGTTCACCAAGACCCAGAGTCTCTCCCAGCCCGAGGAGAAGGTCAGCGGCTTTGGCTTTGCTGCGCCCAGTGTCCTCCATGTAGGCTTGGTAGAAGGGAACACTTAGATGATCCATCTCAGTCAGCCAAACTGCACCACCATTTTTCTCAATCAAGACCCGCTCTCCTTTGCGTGTCAGCTTTCTGCCAAACTGCGGCTGACCATCTTGTACCCACTCTAAGCAGTCAGCAGAGGGCATCATGGGAATGGCCTGGTCCAAAGAGACTCTTGGGAGAGAAGTTTTTCCATCCAGCTTACTCAGCATGGCTTTCACATGTGTAAGAGTCCCGGCAGTGTTTAGGATCATATCAGAGTGTTTCTTTAACATGGACTTGGTTAGATGAGCCAAGTACCCCTCTGCTGTGGAAATGGCTTTGTCCATGTCTCCCAACAGTTCACACTCCACATGGTAGAACTGATTCAAGTGAGTTGCATCAGGATCCTCGCCTCTGAAGCTGGGAGATATGTAATACGTCCCCGGCAGGTTCTCCTGGAAGCGAAGGAAATATTCAAGTACAAATTGCATCGAGTCAGCCAGGTAGATGTCCTGTCCCAGCAGGTTAACCGAAACTGGTTCTGAGTCCGATCCCAAGCCCATTGGTGAGGAGATGGTGTCAGTGGTGAGAGGGGTCAGAGCATAGGAGTACTGGCAGGTAGAGTGGAAATATTCTACTGTGCTGTGGAAAAGAGTGTTTTGAATCTGGAACAGGTTGCGATACCACTGGCTCCTGATGGCAAGTGTGGAGTGAGACTGGGGGTCCTGCCATGAGTGAGAGGGCCTGCAGTGGGTAATTTTTGAGTGGATCTCTTTGAGGGTCTCAGGGTCAGCAGCTGGGCCATCCAGTGATGACACATATCCAGGGTAGCTGTGGAAGAACTCTGCTTGCAGATCAGCAGGTTTAGTGCCATCTGGTGAAGGTAACAGAGGGATTAGCTTGGCATGGGCATAATCGATCTCGAAGCCCTCAAAGATCAGTCCAACTCCTTGAGCTCTCAGCCCCCCTTCCAGTAGTCTGGCAACTTTATAAGTGGCCAAGATCAGATTTTTGTAGTCAGCATCCTCAAGTTTGAAGATGTCACTGGACAGATGTTTGCGCGGCACCACAACGGTTAATCCAGGTGTGTTTGGATATGGTGTCAGGAAGGCAACATGCTCACTGTCCTCCCACACCCTCCACTGTTGCTGCTCTCCACGTACAATTTGGCTGAACAGGTTATTGTTGGAATGGTCTCCGCGGATGTCAAAGCATGAAGGTGCATTTGGCGTTGGCAGTCCATTTCTAATCTTGGCTAGGACCTGGGTCAGTGCCTCATCATCCCAGCGTGGGCCACTTTTTGAGGTGCAGTAGCCAGGATTGTGAGTTTGGAATTCTTCTTCACTTGCAAGATGAGGCTGCCATTTTGAATCTAGGCCATGCAGAGGAAGCAGTCTGATTTGTGCAGGTTGATCAGGGGCTGGATTGAAAACCATGGCACAGCGCTGCACTTCCAATCTCTGACATAGCAGGTTTGACACTGCTCTCGCTCCTTGTAGCATTGCCATAAAGTCTGGTGTAGGCAACTGGAAGATGCTACTGACCCCACTAAGACTTTTTCTGGTCAGAATGGTTGACCCAGGGATCCAGGGGTTGGGAGTCAGGTAGGCAACCAGATCATCTGTTTCCCAGATGACATGTGAGAAGTTCTTGAGAGGCCTGAAGACCTCTACACGTGATATGTCATCTATCATTGAGGCCACAAACATCACTCCGGAATTTGTCTCAATGACGGCATCACCTTTGGTGTCCAAGGCAATGATTCCTGCACAGGTTCCATCAAGATTGTTAGCCATCACTTCTTTACATGCTTGCCTAAGGCTACAGCCAGTGTGGTGGTAGAGACTGGCTATTTTCTGTGCAACTGTGTGCCTCAGAAATATATCTCCATCTCCAGAGCAGGCTATAGCCAAATTGTCATCAGCATATATTCCCGCCCCCACTACTGCTGTATCTCCAACTCGTCCTTTCAGCTTTCCAACCAACCCACCTGTGGAAGATGCAGCGGCCAACCCACTCCAGCGATCCAAGGCCACAGCTCCAACTGTCTGAGGGTGGATGTTTTTTAAGGCCTTCTCCTCACTGAGCTTTGCAGTTAACTGCCTGTGACGTATATCAGTGTAGAAATACTCCGCCCCAACAGGCTTCTCCATCTCCAACCCTTGTAGAAACTCCTCAGCGCCATCTCCCACAAGGAGTGAATGTGAGCTTTTCTCCATGACACATCTTGCAGCCTTTATGGGGTTCTTCACACTTTGCACACAAGCAACTGATCCTGACCTCATTGCATTGCCATCAATAATGGTTGCTTCCATTTCAATTTTGCCATCTTTGTTGAATACGGAGCCTTTACCTGCATTGAACAAGAAGCAGTCTTCCAGAGCTTCTACTGACTTCTGAACGGCGTCTAGACTCCTTCCACCTTGTTGAAGCACTTGAGATCCAAGTGTTAACGCCGCCTGTAGCGCAAACTCAATAACCCCGATGATGTCGGTGTTCAGCATCATCTCCTCTCCCGCACCACCATGGATCACCAGAGTGAAGTCTGTGTTCCTGCCAGAAGTGGAGTCACTCCAGGTTTTGCCATTGTCCCGGCTGTTTGGGACATGGTTTGTCTCCCCATTCTCAGTTGGACTCTGATTCAGTGGAGGCTCTAGGGCTCCCATTTGCTGTGCAATGGCGTACCTAACAGCTAGAAGCATCACTAACTTCAGGTTCATCTTCAGGCTTTCTTGAAGCTCCTCTAATGCCAAAGCATACTTCCCTTTCCCATTGAGAACAATGCGAACCTTGTCTCTCTTCCCAAGGTAGGTTACAGCGAGCTGATCTTTGGCATAAACATTCCCTACTCCACATTCTACACCCTCCATCAGATCTGTACCTGTGAGGTACACAGATGGACATCCAAAGGGTTCCAGGTGCTTCTTCAGTGGGTTGTCAGATTGCAAGGATTGACGCAAGACCGCTACATGGGGACCAACTCCTTTACCACTTTTGGTGTTTTTGATGCGGCTCTTATGCTCCAACAAAGCGACATGGAACAACTGTAGGAGTTCAGGCGTGTATTGGATTGTGTTATCTGGGCCAATGGAAGCCTCCAAGGCCCCTACTAACTTGAGAGAATGCATGGTGATGGAGTATGTAGGATCACAACGGCCATGTTTGTAGTGACGCATATGGGTTGGTGTGACAAGTAAATGTTTGGCAGCAGCTACACCAAGAGTCTTCCTCAGGGAAAGCTGCAAAGAGAAGTTAATCCAAGCATCATAGAGGCATCGCTGCCCTCTCAGAGTAGAAAAGACATCAGGATAGGCGTACATATCAAAAGTGAGAACTGGATGTGTTGCTTTTAAATCATGATTCATCTTGGGTGTATTTACTCCTTGAAAGGGAAATGATAGGGAAGTTGGACAAACAGATATGACATTGTTTGCCAGTTTTTTGAACCCATCCACATTTTCTTTGTCCTTATGGTCAAGATCTAAGTCAGCAGTTTCAGACAGATTGTAAACATATTCAGTAACAAGTCCTGCCACCATCCCATCTACGGCGCTGTGCTCAAACACCATCCCAGCCGTCTTGTTCTTGAACACCACAAGGTTCAGCACCTGTCAAAAAATACTTAAGTAAAGATTGGTTGATTCTATTAGTCCATCAAAATCATTTAGCACCACGTTTACATAAAATCAATGTTATATATTTAAAAAAATGTTTTCTAGTTTTTAAACTTGTGTAAGAGACCAGGAATTGTTATCCAGATGACAGATACCTTGTCATAGTATCTCAGACATGGACGATCTCCTCCTTCCCCTCCCAGCCTCACTGCATTCAGGATGTCAGCCAGATCAGACGGTGCATCACAGTCTTCCAGACCGAGCGTCAGCACGGCACTCTCCATCAGCCCAAGTGATGCCGCCATCTCCCCTCCTTGCTCCAGGATCTCTTCCCTGGTTGCAGCCCAGACATTTCGCTCCAGAGCCGAGAGGCTGCAAATGGCAGAGGGATCTTTCTGTTTTCCTGCACTGGGTTGGTCCATCACCTGAACCAGCTGGTTGTAGATGTCAATGAACTGACGAGCAGAAACCGGGCCACCAGTGCTGGGACGCTCCAGTATGTCCACAGGGAACACTCCTCCAACACAGGTGACAATGGCATGGAGGCTGTCTGGGTAGACCTAAAGATAACAAAGCTTCAGATTAGAAAGATTGCAGACCAGACATTTATAATGAATATCTTATTTTGTATTAATCTTACCGGTTATCTCACAAGTAATCTCAATTAATCTCACCTTGATCTCATCGTGAATCCTTCCAGGAATCCGGGTGGCAGCAAATACCTCAGACTGCTGTGTGCGCTCCATGGGCACGTTTCCCTGCAGTAGCAGGGGCTCACTGTACAGCTTTGCCGCTGCCCAAAGTAGAGCGGCTGCCCTCCCCACTTGGGTACATTTGTTTTCTTTTGACGGAAGAAAAACAACAGGGAGGGCAGTGGAGGTTGGCAGGGGCTCAGTACAAGACAGCAGACTTCTCTTAAACTGATCGGTCACCCAATTCTCTTGGCCTGAAGCCACAGCAGACAACTTGTCCTGGGCCTCTTCAAGCAGATCCCTCTGCTGTTCCAACGTACTTTTGAACTCTGGGTAAAGGTCAGGACCTAAAGTGAGCTGCAGGACACGGCTCACTTCTTGCAAGGTGACATCCAAGTCTGGGAGAGGGTAGTTGAGAAGGGTCATCCTGTTGATGTGGAGGAAACTTAATAGAAAAGGAGAAAAAGACGTAGTGAATGGTCACGTCAGGTGCTGTACTTGTTGCTATAACAGAAGTAGATACAGAGTGAAAACAAAAGAAAAATCATGTAAATGCATTAATAAGTAATGTATGTATTTGGAGGCCAACCCAGGAAATTAGCAGGAAGCTTTATGATGTTCAGTGGTCTCATTTAACCATATTTAGCAACCAAGTTTAAAAAAACATTCAAATCCACAAGGGTTATATCTAAAATCTCCCTTGCATTAACCACAGACCCTTTTTCAAGCATCTTACCAACTACTTTCAGCACTCTATATGAGAGCAGGTGAAGAAAATAAACTGAGCCATCTCCACTCACTCGAGCCCAGAGCTTGTTTGTTGTAGGGAAATTGTCACATATTTCCAGGCACTTATAGTATGGGCAGGCAATGCAGGCACTGCTTTTACTGTCCATTCATTGCGTACCACGAACGAAAAACCCCATGTCTGATCTTGTATTTTTCAACTTTTTTTTTGCCTTTGCACGTAAATAACGGTATATGTTATGCTGGTAATCATCTACGTTACGTATCAAACATGGACCAATTAAAATTGAGATATTACTGGAGATTTGTGCAGCTGACGTGACTACACCAATTAAATTGTAAGTGTAATCCCCACAAAATTCAAAGTCAAAATGACGGCAGCGGTTTCCGCCGATATCACAGATTTGAGGAAACATACAGTCGGAACCGGACCGGACCAGGCAAACACGTCAGATTGAGACACATGATATTTCTGTTCATATGTGTACTGTAATGCTGGCTGGGAACATAGCCAGTATACGAACTCAAACCTTTAATTCCTTAATGAGTGAATATCAATTATGAGACCTGATTTATAGTTTGGTTATTAGTCCCTTTTTAGGGTGGTTCCCCGTTATTTATTTATATTGTGAATTATCTTAGCGATTATTAATAATTCTATTGATTTAATTTGACACTAGCTATTAACCAACACATTGCCCCTACGCCGTTTCCAACACTGACATCACCGCACGTCACTGCATATTTCACAATGCGACCTTCACTTCCATGTACTTTTTAACTGCAATCCTGTGGTTTTAGGTCATGTGTTTGCTTAACACACAGTGACTGTATTTCTTGTGGAAGACAATACTCTCAGGACACACTCACCCATCCACACACGCACACACACAGGCACACCCACACAAACTGGAGAATGGAACTTTTCATCCGCCTTTTCAGTTCCTTCACATGATGTCCTACCTTTGCCACATTAGTGGAACATGTAATTAAGTAATGTGATTTCTTTTTTTTAACAGAGGTCTCTTTGTGTGATAATGTTTCCAACATGAATGGAATCTATACAGACTGTATTTCTCGTGTGAGACAATAGTCCCTGGACTCAGTAGCTATATGGACTCACGTAATGACTGATAATTAATTGCATCGGCTCCCACGTGAAAGCAGTTACTCTCTCTTTGCCAGCTTTTCTGGCAGCTGGTTGTCAAGGGAAAGAATCCCCTGCCGTTGGAAAATTAGATTTCTCCTGATTTGTCTCATCGGCTCAAGTCCTCCACACAATGCTGACTGTCTTCTGTCTGAGGGATGATTCAGGTTCTGCAGTGAACTGATCATGTGGTTCCAATTCCTCATTTAATGAATACAATACAGTACCAGATTACCCAAAATTCATCAACGGATTTTTCCATTTTACACCAGATAATTTCTATTTTATCTGCAATGATAACCATTTCTGACCTTTCTGTCCCTGCTTTGGTACAATCAAGTTACAGTAAATGGAATATAGCTTTGGTAAAGTAAAGAACATTTCTTATCAACAACACAGTCACAGTAAAAGCTGTAGCCAACCTGCTGACTTGGTTTACGCTTTTGAAGCGTGTCTTAAGACACATTTTCGCCGACTTGCCTTCTCCCCTGACAGTTCATCTTTTTCTGCAGGATCTGCAGTCTATGGAAAGCATTTTGTTCTCCAAGCTTGAAAGGTCAAATGCAAATAAAACGACTACTATTTTCAGTATTATCATTATGGTTTATATTATACTTTTGGGAAAGACATTGCACTTGTCAAACATCATTATGCTGCATTTATACTTCACGTTCATTCTGGGCTCCTTTTCTTCTAAATCTTATGGAAACCTATATTTTATGTCAAGACTCTTTGGTGATTGAGGACTTATTCATTCTTCTATTTTAAAACGGTTACAAGAATTCACCCCAAAACTGCCAAAAAATGATCAGTGACAGAATAAAAACGTTTTCATCTTTAGGTTAGTAATATATCGCACGATTTGCATTACATTACATATTTCTTGAGGTTTTAATTTAAATACCTTGTACACAAAAACAACACTTACAGACTTCTATTGATTCACATACTTCACATGTGAGTATCAAGATCATTATGAATCTCTACATCATTACATCATGTTTTTTCATTTAAGAGTAAAAGCTTACCGCAATATGAAAATTTCCCTGAGATCTGTCCAGTCGGTCGGTTGGAGGAGCAGTCAGTGGAGAAACTTGGTCGGCCTACAAAAACGTGGGTTTGCCTGTAATATAGAAGCAGTGACTCCAATTAAGCAATTTAGTGATGTCTCTCTCTCTCTCTCTCTCTCTCTCTCTCTCTCTCTCATATAAACCATACCATGTCTGGTACACATACAGAGCATCATTTTCATATCAAGATTTAGACTTTTCAAACAGGGAGTGCTGTCGAGGTGAAAGCACCAATCCTCCTCTGAAAACAGCATTTTGGGAGACTATCTGCTGTATTGTTAAAGTTTGTCTGACAGTGCTTCAGTCTGCAGGCAGTGTGCTCCCAATTTGTCCCAGCATCGATAAATTGAAATGGGTGTCTTGTGTGTTCGGGGAGAGTCATGTTATACCGTTTAGACTCTCAAAACACTCCCTCAGCAACAAACAAACTCTTTTTAAGTGCCATTTTTATGTTGTGCTTTTTCTGTGTTTCCTCTCTGTTAACCACAACTATTGTTTTTTGTCCGCTAAAGCTACAATATTACATAGTTTCAACATTTTGTTTCAGTTTGAACTTTGAACTTCCTACTATGTCCTCTTGACAAAAGTTGACTGAACTAAAAGCAAGTATTATCATCAACACAAACATGATGCATCAATGTTTATTTATTTTAAGCTATGCTAATATATCTATAGTAATGAATTTTAATACATTTGTTGAATAAATTATGTATTCATGTTTTTAATAGTACTATCTGGACCTTGAGTCTGAAATGAAAGTTTGATTGATTGATTTGAGCATCTGCTGCTGATTTACAGAGAGGGTTCCTAAAAATTAGATTAGAAAACCTCTTTCTTTCTTTTTTTTTATTGTTCTTTTCCTAACTCCTCATAAATTCTCCTAACCATCTTCCTTGACCCCGGGATGTTTTCCACGGAGGTGAAGGAATAATGGTTATGTTAATGTTAATGGTAATGTTTTTTGACAATTCGAATCCAGCCGAGGACATTCTGATCAAGGGACACACGTGGTTTGAATACAGAATTGCAGTTGATTAAACACAGGATGCTTCAACCAAGGGCGGGGAAGACAATCACATGGCAGGAAGTGAATTGAACTTATGGCACAAGAAGCAGGGAAACCTACTCAACACAAAAACCCATTACTCAAATAGAAACAAGGCAAGGGGAAGCTAACGAAGAGAGGAAGTTGACTTCCTTTTTCAAAGGATCATTATAAGTAAGCTAAAAAGGTCAAAATTACATGTTGAGTAAAAGAATGAATTCCATATTGAGTAAGAGAATAAATGACATATTGAGTAACATATTGAGTTGGATGATACATATTACAGTAAAATAGTCAGGCCAAAATGAACCTTGGTAATGCCGACTGTGTGAAGAGCTTTGAAAGTTTGGTTTCCGATATTGCTAATAATGCTTGTTAGCAATTGAAAATAACTGTAAGATAAAGTAAAGTTCTTTTGTTTTACAGTTTTTCTTGATTGTTTACACACATTTTCTGAAAGAATGCCTCATATTCTCAGAACTCTACACCCAAATCCAAAAACACACACACAATGGGCAAAACCCCTCACTTCCCCGCAAAATGAAACTTTACATTCAAAACAATGTTATTTCTTCTCAAAATTTTTCAAATGACAAACACAAACCATCGTATGAATAGACGTTTATAAGAACCAGTTGAACACTGATGTGCTCAATGTAAAACACTATGATGAAAGGAAAACACTTCTCCATTCATCCTAATGACTTAGGCCTTTTTTTTGTTCAGTGTTACACTTCCTACAGACAGTACATACATACGTGTGTTGTAAAATATTTGACAATATTGTTTTTATATTCAGAACACACAAATACACGATAACAAATATATTTTATTTTTCCCACAAAAACAATGTACACAGTGTACATCCCATTCCCAACCAACACAAAGTTGCACGTACACTACATACAAAACAACAGAAGAATTTACTGTACACAGTTACAGTAAAAAAACAACAACTATGCTGCATGTTGAGAGTATGCATCAATTGTGGGACTCACTTGCACATAGTTGTATCGCAATTCTTTGACTCTTTCCGAATTGCGTTCAAATGGCACCCTGTAGACCTGCTTCATCCTGAGATGATTTCTGCGCCAGACACGGTCCAGTGTTGATAAGCTTACCCTATCAATATTTTGAAATATGTCGTTGTTTTCTATTATTTTTCTTTGTATTTGCTGTAATGTTATGCCATTGTTTTCTAGGACCATGTTTATGATTTCAGTTTCCTGTTCAGGAGACAGAACACGTTCCCGACCACCTTGTGTTGGTAATCTTTCAGTTCTGCCAAACAAATAGTAAATATACCTACAAAGTAGGTATACATTTCCTAAATACTTCAAACATACTTTACAGTATTTTTACAGTCCTACAGAACAGTCCACAGGCAATACTGTACTACTGTACTCATTGAGTACTGTATAGATATGCAGTACTGCAATTTTCTAGTGAGAGTAGATTTCTTACCTATTCTCATTTCGGAAAGTCCGGATGATGGGTGCTACAGTGTACCTGCTCAGATTTGGCTGTGCTCTTTGCCCAGCCTCCCTCATTGTTAGACCATGGTTGACCACATGATCAACCAAAGTGGCTCGGATCTCATCAGAGATTACGGTCCTCGTCCTCCTCCTCTTACTCTCACTCCTCTGGCTCTGCCTCTGTTTCCAATGTTGGCATCCATTGCTTCATTGAAGAGCTCACCTGTTGCCCTTTTATTGCTAATTGTAAAACTATGTGACGGGTTTTTGCCCTTGTGATGAGTCCGTGTGCATATTTGAATGGCAGTGTGTTCTTTGTGAAAACAAGATATTTTCTGCATGAAAATTGTGCCAAAAGCAGAGAATTGTGTGTAATGTTTTGAAAAAAGTGTGTTTTAGAACTGCAATTTGAGTGTAAAGCAGGAATTGTGCTTGTAGTTTAGCAGAGTTGGTTCAGGGTTGGTGAATGAGTTACATGTTGTGGAACTCATTCACCAACCCTGAAGTGAATGAGTTCCACAACATGTAACTCATTCTCAAGTACCAGAATTTGTGTGTAAACAATTGAGAAAAACTGTAATTTGACATTTTGTCACTGATGTGTGTGCGTGTGTGTGCGTGTGTGGGTGTAAGGAGGGATCTGTGTTACTTTTCTTCATTGATATGTGTGTGCGTGTGTTGTTGTCTGTGGGTGTGAGAGAGGAGGGATCTGTGATCTGTATATAAAAGAAGTCAGTTGTGTCGAGACGTCACACGTAGCTGCACGGTGACAAAAAAAGAAAAATGTAATTCTGTTTTTTTTTTGTTGCTTTCGTTTGTCTGTAATTTTGTACGCTTGCATTTTATAATTGTAATCATTTTTCGGTGGCCTCATAACTGGATTGTTTCATGGTAATACTGATTGAAATGTTGCCACTGTTGGAAGAAGAAAATGTGTGAGGCACCTTGTTTGCACCTGCAGGTTCAGACCTAGCCTGTGGGAATGGCCCGCTGTTATTGGTTTTATTTAGTTTTTGAGTAAGCCTATTTATTTCTAAAATCAGTTTGTAGGTTGCTGTAATTGTTACTGTAACAGTGAAGACCAACTAGTTGACATTTGACATTTTAACCATACATCACGATACATTTATCATATTCTGCTAAATAATATGTTGCTGCTGTTTGAAGGCAAGAAAGCCAACACAGCAAATCTGAGTTCCAAGAAATGAAAAGGAAATAATAGGAAATAAAATATTTACTTGAGTTGGTATGTGAGTGTGTGTGTGCGTGTGTGTGTGCGTGCGTGTGCGTGCGTGTGTGTGCGTGAGTGCGTGTTCAGGGATGTGTGTGTGTAATACTGAAAGTAGAGATTGCTCTACGATGAGAAGAAGCCTGAGGGCAAAAAAGAGACATTGCAAGATCAACGGGTAATGAAAGGTCAAATGCTTTACTTGCGTGTGTGCACATGCATGTGTGGGTGTGATTGTGCGTCACTGTTGAAGAGTCTGAGAACAAATGGGGAAATAAAAGGACTTCACTTGAGTGGTTGATAATTGATAATATGTATATATATATGTATATATATATATATATAAATACTATTTATATAAATAGTATATACTAGTGCTGGGCAACAAATACAAGTTGGAATCGAAAATCAGTTTGTAGGTTGCTGTAATTGTTACTGTAACAGTGAAGACCAACTAGTTGACATTTGACATTTTAACCATACATCACGATACATTTATCATATTCTGCTAAATAATATGTTGCTGTTGTTTGAAGGCAAGAAAGCCAACACAGCAAATCTGAGTTCCAAGAAATGAAAAGGCATAAATGCTAAAATATTTACTTGAGTTGGTATGTGCGTGTGTGTGTGCGTGTGTGTGTGCGTGCGTGTGTGTGTGTGTGCGTGAGTGCGTGTTCAGGGATGTGTGTGTGTAATACTGAAAGTAGAGATTGCTCTGCGATTAGAAGAAGCCTGAGGGCAAAAAAGAGACATTGCAGGATCAACGGGTAATGAAAGGTCAAATGCTTTACTTGCGTGTGTGCACATGCATGTGTGGGTGTGATTGTGCGTCACTGTTGAAGAGTCTGAGAACAAATGCGGACATGAAAGGACTTCACTTGAGTGGTGGATAATTGATATGCCGCCCTCGGTATATGCGCTCCGATACACCTTGGCAGTTAGACGAACTCTTTTCTGACATCACGACTCTGAAGACAATGGTCCGTTGTCCACAGGTTTATTGACATGAGAAAGAGTTCGTCTAACTGCCAAGGTGTATCGGAGCGCATATACCGAGGGCGGCATAGTAAAACAACGATGCTATCAAAAAGGTATAGGATGCATGCAGACTCAACTGGATTGAAAAGCTACCAATACAAACAGCAGTTCTGAGCCATATTCTTCATTGACTTCCTGGTTCCTGTCACCTGACAAATTACATCACATTTCCTGTTTTCAAAATAAAACATAGCATTGATTTAACGTTTGTGACAAAACACTCCCCGCTTGGCGTGAATACACGCCACCCAATAAATCCTAGACAGTTCACTCCACTAGGCCTCTGGGGGGAAAAGAAGCACTATCTCAGAAACAGGCCTAAGAAAGAGTTTAGTCACTCCTGTTCGTGCGACCTTGATCTCGACCTTTCGTACCTTCCCGTCCTCGCTGGGGAACGCCTGTGTTACCAGTCCAAGAGGCCATTCATTTCTTGGTGCTTGACTATCCTTGAGGATAACAACACTTCCTGGGCTGATGTTTGGATGAGCGGAATGCCACTTCTTACGTGCCTGTAGTGTCGGGAGATATTGCTTTCGCCATCTGTCCCAGAAGGTGTTAGACAGGTGCTGGACCTGTCGCCACTGGCGCTTGTAGAGGTCTGAAACTCCAAACTCTCCGGTAGGGGCAGTCAAGACATTCACCTTTTGCGTGAGAAGGGCAGCTGGAGTGAGTATAAATGGATCCTCAGAGTCGGTTGTCACAGGAACAAGAGGTCTGCCATTTATAATGGCTGTAACTTCTGCCATGAAAGTCACCAGCACCTCGTGGGTAAGTTTGTCCTTCAGCTGAAGGAACATGGCGTCCAGGATTCTCCTTGCAAGACCAATCATTCTTTCCCACGAACCGCCAAAATGGGAGGCATGCGGAGGGTTAAAGGTCCACGAGCAACCTTGACCTAACAGGTAAGTCTTCACAGTTGTGTTGTCAATGTTTGAGGGTATTTTCAACTCCCGGCAGGCGCCTACAAAGTTGGTGCCACGGTCTGAGCGGATGTGTTTGACAGGGCCGCGCACAGCAAGAAAGCGCCTTAGCGCGTTGACGAAGCTGGATGTGTCAAGGGATTCTATGACTTCAATATGAACCGCTCGTACACTCATGCACGTGAAGATTACGGCCCATCGTTTACTGTGTGAGTGGCCTCCTCTTGTTCTACGTGAAGAGACACTCCAAGGGCCGAACACATCAAGCCCAACATTCGTAAAGGGAGGTTCTGTTGAGAGACGGTCCGCTGGAAGACTGGCCATCTTCTGGATTGTAAGTGGGGCTCTAAGCCTTCTGCAGGTTATACACTGGTGGATGATGTTGCTCACCTTTCTTTTACCACCAACTATCCAAAAGCCAGCTGTACGGACGGCCCCTCCGTAAACAGACGACCTTGGTGATAGATTTGTTCGTGGTGATGCTTGATGAGTAAGGTTGCAACCTGATGCTTGCCAGGTATGATCACTGGGGTCTTCTCGCTCTGAACAAGGTTTGCATTGTGGAGGCGGCCTCCGACTCTCAGAAGGCCGAGTGCATCAATGAAAGGATCCAGATTTTTGAGAGGACTACTTTTAGGGATCTGCTCATGTTTTTGGACACATTTGATCTCTTGACTGTAGGCTTCCTCCTGTACTGCTCGAATGATGATGTGCGATGCTTGATTAGATTCCTCAAAATTGAATCCTGTTTTGCAGTGATGCCAGCCCTTACAAAGGCTGTTCTTCAAGGTGCTGTTGAAAAGGCGAGCTATGTGTATGAGGCGAATAATGGCCCGAGTTAGCGACTTCCAGGATGAGAACCTTGCGAATCGCTGAGAACCGAGCTGGTTGGATGTTGTCGTAGTGCTCAAAGTGGATACCAGAGGGCGAATGTCTGAGTCTGCACTCGGGTCCACAAGTTCATGGGTGCTCTCTGAGGTACTGGTCTCCGGTGTGTACAGAGATTTGGGCCCGCTCAGCCAGTTTGTGTCATTCAAACGGTCTGCAGTGACAGCACGTGTAGCGTGGTCTGCGGGGTTCTGTTCTGTTGACACATAGCGCCATTGATCTGGGCGAGAGGATCTTCGGATACGCAATACCCGGTTACTTACATACACATAAAAGCGCCTAGTTTCATTAGAAATGTAGCCAAGGACCACCTTGCTGTCTGAGTGGAAGGTTGTAGCATCGAGCTGAAGGTCTAATTCTGTCGAGATTAGGTCTGCTAACTCCACTCCAAGCACTGCTGCGCAAAGTTCCAGTCTCGGAATTGTTTGCTCAGGACGGGGGGCCAGCTTGGCTTTGCCCATTACAAATCCGACATGGTTATTTCCAGCAGAGTCAGTTACTTTTAGGTATGCCACAGCGGCAATAGCTTTTGTGGATGCGTCAGAAAATACGCACAATTCCCTTCTGACAGCTGTTGCGGGGGAAGTTGTAGTGTAGGCTCTGGGAATAGACAGCTGGGACAGTTCTGTTAAGGATGTTCTCCACGATGTCCATGATTCCTCCATTTCTCGAGGCAAAGGCGAGTCCCAGTCACCTTTCTCAGTTGTTAGCTCTCTCAGAATAGCCTTGCCTTGTATTGTGACTGGCGCTACAAACCCTAGAGGATCGTAGAGGCTGTTGATTGTTGACAAGACACCCCGTCGAGTGTATGGTCTCTTCTCATCGGAGACGCTGAATTGGAAGCAGTCGGTCTCGAGGTCCCAATTGATCCCTAGACTACGCTGCATCGGCAGCGCATCTGCACTGAGGTCAAGGTCTTTAAGGTCTTTTGCACGATCTTCAGCCGGAAAGGCCTCCATGACCTCCTTGTTGTTTGCTGCGATCTTGTGTAGTCTTAGGTTGGATTTGGAGAGAATATCCTGTGTTTTTTTCAGCAAGTTGACTGCAGCTTCGACTGTGGGTAGGGACTTTAACCCATCGTCTACATAGAAGTCACGCATCACAAAACGTTGGACGTCAGCGTCAATGTGGAGTTCACTGACCTGAACAGACTGGTGCAATCCATGAATCGCTACTGCGGGTGAAGGGCTATTTCCAAAGACGTGGACCGTCATTCGATACTCCACAATGTCTTTGGAGGGGTCGTTATCTTGGAACCATAGAAAACGTAGGAAGTTCCTATCGTCTTCCCTCACTGAAAAACAATAGAACATCTGCTCTATGTCCGTTGTAAAAGCGATTGCTTCCTTTCTAAAGCGCAACAGTACACCGAGCAGTGTGTTGTTCAGATCAGGCCCAGTCAGCAGCACGTCGTTGAGTGACACACCGTTGTACTGGGCGCTGGAATCGAAGACTACTCGGATTTGGTTTGGTTTTCTTGGATGTACACCCCAAATATTGGCAGGTACCACTGTTCTCCACCCACACTGGGAGGAGGGGCCAGCTCAGCGTGACCATTCTTGAACATCTTGTCCATGAAAATGAGAAAGTGGTATTTCATTTCAGGCCTCTTTTCAAACTGGCGCCTTAGCAACTTGAGACGGTTCACTGCCTGTGGCCTGTTGTTGGGGAGCCTTTGACGTGGGCATTTAAAGGGTAACGGAGCTACCCAACTGTTGTTTGCATCTTTTGTTAGTCCATCTTTCATTATTTCCATAAAGGAGATGTCCTGGATAGACGGAGCAATGTTGTTGTCGTCTTTGGCCTGCTTGAATATGTTATGTCCTAGGCTGTCAACATCACAGTTTGGTATCTCCACAAAATGTGGTTGGAGGTGGTTTGTAGCCTGGGTGTCACTGTAACTTTCCTTTACCCGGAACACGTTAGGACATGGGTCAAAGAGAGTGGGGCGTCCCCGTTCTGTGGTGTTAGTGTAGAAGGCGCTGACTGTTGGTGGCTTATGAACGCGACCTAAACACACATTGCCCACGATGACCCATCCCAGATCCAACTTTTGAGCATAGGGCAGGTTGTGTGAGCCATTGACCTGTTTGCGGACCTTATGAACCCTGAGAATATCCCGACCTAAGAGAAGCATAATTTGGGCCTGTGGGTCGATCTCTGGGATGAGGTGTGCAACTGACTTTAAGTGTGCGTGATGAAAGGCTGCATTTGGAGTTGGAATCTCATCTCTGTTATTTGGAATGTCATCACATTCTATGAGGCTGGGTAGTGGAATGCTGACGGTCTTATCCAAGGATTCCACAATGTAGCCACTGGCCCTTCTTCCTGTCGCTTTCTTTACTCCAGCACATGTTTTCAATGAGTAAGGAGCACTTGGACTTTGGTCATTGAAGATTTCGAAGAACTGTGAACGAACTAGTGATCTGTTGCTCTGTTCGTCCAGGATCACGTACATTTTCACTGCTTTGTCAGCGTGGCCGGTTGGATACACTTTCACGAGGGATACTTTAGAACAGGATCGGCCCGTCATGTCTCCGCCACAGACATCTGTACATTTGGTGGCGACATGGGGTTGTGGAAAGCTATCCTCCTCCCCGCCATGCTCTGGAACCGAGTTTGTGTCTTCAACCCAAGGTGCAGGTCCAGGGTGAAGCGCTGTGTGGTGTTTTTCACTTTTACATTCATAACATCGAACATTAAATGTGCAGTTCCTTGCAATATGTGATGATGAAGCGCAGCATTTGAAACAGATGTTATTCTCTTTTAAGAATGTCCTCCGGTCTGCAATGGGCTTTTCTCTGAATGCACGGCATTTGCGTATGGGGTGAGGTTTTTTGTGGATTGGACACAGTTGTTCACAGTCAGCGAATTGTGTTGGGGGTTCCCTAGGACCAGAGGTATCTTTTGGAAATATCTCTGTTTTGTGAACAGAGACTTCACGTTGTCTGTTTGGCTTCCAAGTTGTTTTTTCTGTCCTAAGAGACATGTCTGAGTAAGAGAAAAAGTTGAAACTTGGGTCATTTTTGACACTAGCTTCATGGCTAACAAAGTTTACAAAGCAGGCAAAGGGAGGATATGACACGTGATATTGCTGCTTGTAGGATGCCCCAACTGACGCCCACTTTTCCTGCAGACCAAAGGGGAGCTTCTGTACAATAGGGTTAACGCCTCTTGCTGTATCGAGGAAAGAGAGACCGGGCAGGTCTCCTTCATCTTTGGCTGACTCTAGTTCCTTTAAAAGATCACTCAACTTTGTTAGTTTGGAATAATCTCGATTTGTTAATTTTGGGAAGGCGTCAATACGTTTGAACAGAGCATCTTCTATTACTTCGGCAGAACCATAAGATTGTTCTAGTCTGTCCCATATCATGGCCAAGCCTGCCGCTGGATGGTTGATGTGTATTGCTCTTATGTGCTCGACATGTTCTGATGACTCTTTGCCGAGCCATTTAAACAGGAGATCCATTTCCTCACTTGGTGTCAGGTCCAACCCTCTGGTTGCGTTCTGGAAAGAACGTTTCCAGGCTCTGTAGTTCTGAGGTCTGTCGTTGAATTGAAGCAGGCCTGTTGCCACAAGCTCACGACGAGCAAAGTATCTTACAAAGTCGCTAATGTTGGAGTTTTCATTATTGTTGTTTGAAGATGTGGGGTAGGATTTAAGAGCGGGATGACTTTTGTCGTTTTGACGTCTAAGACCTTGCTCAGGAGTAGCATTGCGGTTGTCAAACCGAACATTGTGTGTCGTGTGGACCTTCTCATCTTCGTAGATGTAAGGCTGCTGTGAGGTGAGGCGAGTTGGTTGAGAAGCTGCATTGTGGCTTTGTGTATGATGGGAAAATATATTGGCTTGAGCCGGATGGAATGAGTCTGCTTCAGGTTTGATAGATGAAGTTGGAGTTTCGTAGTTTTGGCTTGGCTCTCTTTTCGCGACAACACCATCATCAAGCAGCTGAGCGTCTGTGTTTAGTGATTCAGCTTGGTCAATCACATATTGTTCTGTGCGTTGTGCAGATTCCAAGTTTGACATCAAACTTTGTCTTTCACTATTTGCTTCTACCGCAGCTTCAAGGACTTCGGCCTCAGCTACAGCTGCAGCTGTCTCTTTCTTGTATTTGAGCATTTCTATTGAGGCTTCTAGCTTAGCTTTTTCTATCTTCAGGGTCATTTCCTCTTTAGCGTAGGACATGCGTGCCTTTGCTGCCTCTGCTCTCGCTCTCGCTTTTGCAGCAGCAGACCCCGTCGATGATACACTTGAGTATGTAGCAGAACATGTAGCGCGGGACCGCGTCTTTAATGAAGTTGCTTTCTCGGACATGGCGTTGTCTGTTGACGTACCTCTGTTTAGACACCGCTGTGATGAAGAAGAAGCCTGAGGGCAAAAAAGAGACATTGCAGGATCAACGGGTAATGAAAGGTCAAATGCTTTACTTGCGTGTGTGCACATGCATGTGTGGGTGTGATTGTGCGTCACTGTTGAAGAGTCTGAGAACAAATGGGGAAATGAAAGGACTTCACTTGAGTGGTTGATAATTGATAATATGTATATGTATATATATATATATATATATATATATATATATATATATATATACTATTTATATAAATAGTATATACTAGTGCTGGGCAACAAATACAAGTTGGAATCGAAAATCAGTTTGTAGGTTGCTGTAATTGTTACTGTAACAGTGAAGACCAACTAGTTGACATTTGACATTTTAACCATACATCACGATACATTTATCATATTCTGCTAAATAATAGGGGCGGCACGGTGGCGTGGTGGTTAGCACTGTTGCCTCACAGCAAGAAGGTCCTGGGTTCGATTCCGCCCAGTGGCCTTTCTGTGTTACCTATTCTCATTTCGGAAAGTCCGGATGATGGATGCTACAGTGTACCTGCTCAGATTTGGCTGTGCTCTTTGCCCAGCCTCCCTCATTGTTAGACCATGGTTGACCACATGATCAACCAAAGTGGCTCGGATCTCATCAGAGATTACGGTCCTCGTCCTCCTCCTCTTACTCTCACTCCTCTGGCTCTGCCTCTGTTTCCAATGTTGGCATCCATTGCTTCATTGAAGAGCTCACCTGTTGCCCTTTTATTGCTAATTGTAAAACTATGTGACGGGTTTTTGCCCTTGTGATGAGTCCGTGTGCATATTTGAATGGCAGTGTGTTCTTTGTGAAAACAAGATATTTTCTGCATGAAAATTGTGCCAAAAGCAGAGAATTGTGTGTAATGTTTTGAAAAAAGTGTGTTTTAGAACTGCAATTTGAGTGTAAAGCAGGAATTGTGCTTGTAGTTTAGCAGAGTTGGTTCAGGGTTGGTGAATGAGTTACATGTTGTGGAACTCATTCACCAACCCTGAAGTGAATGAGTTCCACAACATGTAACTCATTCTCAAGTACCAGAATTTGTGTGTAAACAATTGAGAAAAACTGTAATTTGACATTTTGTCACTGATGTGTGTGCGTGTGTGTGCGTGTGTGGGTGTAAGGAGGGATCTGTGTTACTTTTCTTCATTGATATGTGTGTGCGTGTGTTGTTGTCTGTGGGTGTGAGAGAGGAGGGATCTGTGATCTGTATATAAAAGAAGTCAGTTGTGTCGAGACGTCACACGTAGCTGCACGGTGACAAAAAAAGAAAAATGTAATTCTGTTTTTTTTTTGTTGCTTTCGTTTGTCTGTAATTTTGTACGCTTGCATTTTATAATTGTAATCATTTTTCGGTGGCCTCATAACTGGATTGTTTCATGGTAATACTGATTGAAATGTTGCCACTGTTGGAAGAAGAAAATGTGTGAGGCACCTTGTTTGCACCTGCAGGTTCAGACCTAGCCTGTGGGAATGGCCCGCTGTTATTGGTTTTATTTAGTTTTTGAGTAAGCCTATTTATTTCTAAAATCAGTTTGTAGGTTGCTGTAATTGTTACTGTAACAGTGAAGACCAACTAGTTGACATTTGACATTTTAACCATACATCACGATACATTTATCATATTCTGCTAAATAATATGTTGCTGTTGTTTGAAGGCAAGAAAGCCAACACAGCAAATCTGAGTTCCAGGAAATGAAAAGGAAATAATAGGAAATAAAATATTTACTTGAGTTGGTATGTGCGTGTGTGTGTGCGTGTCTGTGTGCGTGCGTCTGCGTCCGTATGTATGCGTGAGTGCGTGTTCAGGGATGTGTGTGTGTAATACTGAAAGTAGAGATTGCTCTACGATGAGAAGAAGCCTGAGGGCAAAAAAGAGACATTGCAGGATCAACGGGTAATGAAAGGTCAAATGCTTTACTTGCGTGTGTGCACATGCATGTGTGGGTGTGATTGTGCGTCACTGTTGAAGAGTCTGAGAACAAATGGGGAAATGAAAGGACTTCACTTGAGTGGTTGATAATTGATATGCCGCACTCGGTATATGCGCTCCGATACACCTTGGCAGTTAGACAAACTCTTTTCTGACATCACGACTCTGAAGACAATGGTCCGTTGTCCACAGGTTTATTGACATGAGAAAGAGTTCGTCTAACTGCCAAGGTGTATCGGAGCGCATATACCGAGGGCGGCATAGTAAAACAACGATGCTATCAAAAAGGTATAGGATGCATGCAGACTCAACTGGATTGAAAAGCTACCAATACAAACAGCAGTTCTGAGCCATATTCTTCATTGACTTCCTGGTTCCTGTCACCTGACAAATTACATCACATTTCCTGTTTTCAAAATAAAACATAGCATTGATTTAACGTTTGTGACAAAACACTCCCCGCTTGGCGTGAATACACGCCACCCAATAAATCCTAGACAGTTCACTCCACTAGGCCTCTGGGGGGAAAAGAAGCACTATCTCAGAAACAGGCCTAAGAAAGAGTTTAGTCACTCCTGTTCGTGCGACCTTGATCTCGACCTTTCGTACCTTCCCGTCCTCGCTGGGGAACGCCTGTGTTACCAGTCCAAGAGGCCATTCATTTCTTGGTGCTTGACTATCCTTGAGGATAACAACACTTCCTGGGCTGATGTTTGGATGAGCGGAATGCCACTTCTTACGTGCCTGTAGTGTCGGGAGATATTGCTTTCGCCATCTGTCCCAGAAGGTGTTAGACAGGTGCTGGACCTGTCGCCACTGGCGCTTGTAGAGGTCTGAAACTCCAAACTCTCCGGTAGGGGCAGTCAAGACATTCACCTTTTGCGTGAGAAGGGCAGCTGGAGTGAGTATAAATGGATCCTCAGAGTCGGTTGTCACAGGAACAAGAGGTCTGCCATTTATAATGGCTGTAACTTCTGCCATGAAAGTCACCAGCACCTCGTGGGTAAGTTTGTCCTTCAGCTGAAGGAACATGGCATCCAGGATTCTCCTTGCAAGACCAATCATTCTTTCCCACGAACCGCCAAAATGGGAGGCATGCGGAGGGTTAAAGGTCCACGAGCAACCTTGACCTAACAGGTAAGTCTTCATAGTTGTGTTGTCAATGTTTGAGGGTATTTTCAACTCCCGGCAGGCGCCTACAAAGTTGGTGCCACGGTCTGAGCGGATGTGTTTGACAGGGCCGCGCACAGCAAGAAAGCGCCTTAGCGCGTTGACGAAGCTGGATGTGTCAAGGGATTCTATGACTTCAATATGAACCGCTCGTACACTCATGCACGTGAAGATTACGGCCCATCGTTTACTTTGTGAGTGGCCTCCTCTTGTTCTACGTGAAGAGACACTCCAAGGGCCGAACACATCAAGCCCAACATTCGTAAAGGGAGGTTCTGTTGAGAGACGGTCCGCTGGAAGACTGGCCATCTTTTGGATTGTAAGTGGGGCTCTAAGCCTTCTGCAGGTTATACACTGGTGGATGATGTTGCTCACCTTTCTTTTACCACCAACTATCCAAAAGCCAGCTGTACGGACGGCCCCTCCGTAAACAGACGACCTTGGTGATAGATTTGTTCGTGGTGATGCTTGATGAGTAAGGTTGCAACCTGATGCTTGCCAGGTATGATCACTGGGGTCTTCTCGCTCTGAACAAGGTTTGCATTGTGGAGGCGGCCTCCGACTCTCAGAAGGCCGAGTGCATCAATGAAAGGATCCAGATTTTTGAGAGGACTACTTTTAGGGATCTGCTCATGTTTTTGGACACATTTGATCTCTTGACTGTAGGCTTCCTCCTGTACTGCTCGAATGATGATGTGCGATGCTTGATTAGATTCCTCAAAATTGAATCCTGTTTTGCAGTGATGCCAGCCCTTACAAAGGCTGTTCTTCAAGGTGCTGTTGAAAAGGCGAGCTATGTGTATGAGGCGAATAATGGCCCGAGTTAGCGACTTCCAGGATGAGAACCTTGCGAATCGCTGAGAACCGAGCTGGTTGGATGTTGTCGTAGTGCTCAAAGTGGATACCAGAGGGCGAATGTCTGAGTCTGCACTCGGGTCCACAAGTTCATGGGTGCTCTCTGAGGTACTGGTCTCCGGTGTGTACAGAGATTTGGGCCCGCTCAGCCAGTTTGTGTCATTCAAACGGTCTGCAGTGACAGCACGTGTAGCGTGGTCTGCGGGGTTCTGTTCTGTTGACACATAGCGCCATTGATCTGGGCGAGAGGATCTTCGGATACGCAATACCCGGTTACTTACATACACATAAAAGCGCCTAGTTTCATTAGAAATGTAGCCAAGGACCACCTTGCTGTCTGAGTGGAAGGTTGTAGCATCGAGCTGAAGGTCTAATTCTGTCGAGATTAGGTCTGCTAACTCCACTCCAAGCACTGCTGCGCAAAGTTCCAGTCTCGGAATTGTTTGCTCAGGACGGGGGGCCAGCTTGGCTTTGCCCATTACAAATCCGACATGGTTATTTCCAGCAGAGTCAGTTACTTTTAGGTATGCCACAGCGGCAATAGCTTTTGTGGATGCGTCAGAAAATACGCACAATTCCCTTCTGACAGCTGTTGCGGGGGAAGTTGTAGTGTAGGCTCTGGGAATAGACAGCTGGGACAGTTCTGTTAAGGATGTTCTCCACGATGTCCATGATTCCTCCATTTCTCGAGGCAAAGGCGAGTCCCAGTCACCTTTCTCAGTTGTTAGCTCTCTCAGAATAGCCTTGCCTTGTATTGTGACTGGCGCTACAAACCCTAGAGGATCGTAGAGGCTGTTGATTGTTGACAAGACACCCCGTCGAGTGTATGGTCTCTTCTCATCGGAGACGCTGAATTGGAAGCAGTCGGTCTCGAGGTCCCAATTGATACCTAGACTACGCTGCACCGGCAGCGCATCTGCACTGAGGTCAAGGTCTTTAAGGTCTTTTGCACGATCTTCAGCCGGAAAGGCCTCCATGACCTCCTTGTTGTTTGCTGCGATCTTGTGTAGTCTTAGGTTGGATTTGGAGAGAATATCCTGTGTTTTTTTCAGCAAGTTGACTGCAGCTTCGACTGTGGGTAGGGACTTTAACCCATCGTCTACATAGAAGTCGCGCATCACAAAACGTTGGACGTCAGCGTCAATGTGGAGTTCACTGACCTGAACAGACTGGTGCAATCCATGAATCGCTACTGCGGGTGAAGGGCTATTTCCAAAGACGTGGACCGTCATTCGATACTCCACAATGTCTTTGGAGGGGTCGTTATCTTGGAACCATAGAAAACGTAGGAAGTTCCTATCGTCTTCCCTCACTGAAAAACAATAGAACATCTGCTCTATGTCCGTTGTAAAACCTTTCTAAAGCGCAACAGTACACCGAGCAGTGTGTTGTTCAGATCA